CCCCCAGACTTCCCCAATCGGCTAGCAAATATTGCTTGCTAAACACAATTTTATTGCTTGCTAGACATTCCTGTCTTTCTGCTAAGCCAAGCACTCCCTCCCACCTCCTTGTACACGTGTCTTCTTTTTCTAGCTAAGCATTCTCTTCGTATCTCTTCCTATTCTTGCATTACTTAAAAGCAGAAGTAAAGCAGGAAACATCTTGCTAGTGGTTTTTCGGTTAACAGCAGTTTCTGGCTGGGCAGGAAGCGACCTTCTGACCTGTAGCTAATATCAGCAGTTTCAAGTAGCTGGTTAGGCAGAAAATGACCTCTTGACCTGTCTGTTTTAGACTCTTGCAAGCTACTGCAATTTTGGGCTGTTTTGACCCTCCTAGCAGAGTGCAGGAATTTATTATGTGTAGATAATATTTGAGAGCAACACAATAAAATATTGAGAGAAACCTTTCCTATCTCCCTTTAATATTACATACTTATATATCATTTTGCTCCTAAGGGTGGAGCAAGTTCACACATTTGTTACCCTGCTCTGGTGTACATCAAAGGCTATCTTGATCTTTACAGAATTGTCAAGATGGCGCAGCATAATGCTATAAGGCCAAACTTGCACAAAAGAAACACAAGGCTTCACTTCTGGTCAAATCTAAGTGAGATGATGTTTGGCTTGGACATGAGGCAAAGTACCTAATGTGCATGGCGTGTGCAAGAAATAATCTGGTTAGAGAGAAGTTTAAGGAAGTTGCATTGTCATGTATTATCAGCATTGACTTCCCATGATAATAGTTTTAACTCTGAATTATGGAATGTATTGGCAACATAAAGGTGCCAAGGTAGAGAATCTGAAGAGGCCTTTCCTCTACAGGTAAAAAGAACTAAAGTAGTAGAATTTCAAATTTGCAGTTGTTGGGGCAGAAGAAGTGAGGATGCTTGCATGAAATCTGCTTCTTCACAATGAGCCAGCTAATAAAAATGGGACCAACAGGCGGTGAAAATACCTAGAAACTAGGGAATCCAACATATAGTCCACCAGATGTTGTTTTCTTCTTCCTTTAAAAGGGCCTGAGCTATACGCAGGCCAGGCCCACTCAAATGGATGCTGAGTAGTGACAATGTGTTTTCTACCGACTGCTTCAAGTTATAGTGGGAGATGCATGCACTTTGTACAGGTCCAAGAGATTTCACCCTTCATTCACAACACCTGAAAAATACATCTCTAGAACAAACAGAGAAGTTTTCTTAAGTAATGTCTTTTTACAACGATAGCATGAGTAACTGAACTTTGAATGGCTTCTGAAGCATCACAGTTGCTACAGGTATTGCAATTCAGTATAAGGAATACACGTTTGGGGGGTGGGGAAGACAGGGCAAGCATGTTAACTTTCCCCCTCCTCAACCATGAAGGAGGATGGTGTGAAGCAGGTTCCCTTCCGTATCCGTGGCAGCTTCCTGCGTGTGTAGGAACCTTGATCTCATAGGGTTCCAAAATGCACAGTGCACCTCCCCAGACTTGTCACCTTTTGCTTATTTTTACAATGTAATGTCTCAAGAGTTTACCTATGGGACTTGCCTTCTTAAGTCTTACCATGGTGTCTTAAATATTGGAGTGACTTGGGCATGGCTTGATCTTCTTTTAAGAGGCAGGGACATTTGTGGCGAGTGAGGACAAAAACAGGCAGAAAGGTCAAATAGTTGGTTACAGTCTGATAAAGTTATCCGTCGGGCCATGGATCCTTCCGTCTGGAAACAGTAAAAGGAAATTAAGGGTTTTGCATATAGACTTTGTATGTGTAGTTAGGCGAGGAGAAATAGATGAGCCAGTTGGCTTCTTTTGGACTCTCCTTATGCTATATTCCAACGAGTGACAAGAACTGGGGGAAGGGCAGATGAGCAATAAGCTTCGCAGGTTGAAACCAGATCATGGCCAAATGTGTCAGTCAAGGGTTCAACAGAGTTGCTCAAGGCTGCTTCCAGATTTGGGGGCAAAGTGCATTCTGATATCATGCCTATTATACTGATGAACCCCTCAGGCTTTCTTGGCTGTGGCGGCGGCGGTAGTGACAGTAGCAGCAGCTGCTGCCATTTTAATTTCCCAGAGTGCCCAGTGCTGTATCATGTTGGGAAATTAAAATGGAGGCTTACACACTTAGCTGCCTGGTGGGGCACTGACAGCCCAGAGGCTGATCTAGGATTCCGGGTGGCAATATTGATCCGCAAGCTTTATTCAGGTTCTTTAGTTGTACTTGCTGTCTGTCCTTTTCTTTCTTTTTAAGTCTGTTTGAATCATTGGGAGCAGGTTACTTATGAAAGTATTTTTTTGCATTTGAAAGTTGCTAAGTGTGGGATGCAGTATGGCTTAGCTGTTGCTGTACTATCAAACTTCAATATATCTAGCTGCGCACACTTTTCTTTTATATTTTATCTGTCTAGAATGATAGTGACTACATATCTCCCTTAAAAGTTCAGCAGCAGGGTTAAATAGCCGCCTTCTTTAAACAAAACGGTAGAAATTTCCATGCATATAACTGGACTTCTATATTTCCTTGAGTTGCAACCATGTGGTTTCATGCTATACACTTGATGTAACTGAGTGAACCTGCAAGCTAAACACTGATTCTCTCTTGTTCTTTCTGTAGCTTCTTTAGTCTTCCCAGTTCGCGCTCCATAACATCAGGAAGATATGTAAATTAGAAGATTTATTAAGGCCAAAACACCTCATGCAGAAGAAATTTAATTGGTGCTTCTACTTTTTTTATGCTTGCAATGTATTGCACAGAAGAGATTCCAAAGCGAGAAGTGATTTGGACAACATTGCCTTGACCAGGTTTCTTGATTAAGTAGACCTCTGATAATTCAACCATAAATTGTTAATTCCAGCTAAATGCATGGCATGCACTAAAACCAAAGAACTAATCTTCTTACATGATGGGTGAAAGAACCCCAAACAAAAGCTTTCCAGTGGCAGGCTGAACACACTTGGCATGTGTTCAGCATGAAATAGATGCTGCTTTAAACTGCCGTTGTAAATGGGAGCTTGATATGTTTGTCTATAAATTTGGCTTTGGGTCTGTAAAGTAACAGTGTGTCCTAATTATGCTTCATAGACAAAAGTCCCACTACTTATAACTTCCTTTTGTGGGACTAATAATAACAGCCCAATGTATTTCAAATTGGGGCTTAAAATACCAAATTTTAACTATCCCTAACCTTCCTGTGAAATTTTAGAATCTTTTAGCGCTAACTATTTTGCAGAGGTTTCCCCTATATAAAATGTATTGTCAAGGTATTTTCTATGGAAGGAAAGTCACTCACTAGTTTCCTAAAAGGTGCCTAATTTGATAGAGGGAGGCTCCTCCTTGACCCATTTTCTTCTCCCTCCTTACTTCTGTATTTACATCTGTTTATTGTTACAGGAAATGGCTGGAGTGCCCCCAATCTTTTCCTATCTGCAAATAATAAATTGAACTTGATTGTGAAACCATTTTAAAAGGACAACTGATTGGGGAGGGGAAGAGGAGCCAGGAAGCATGTGCAAAGGGATTGCCATAGTGGAACTGAGAGGGTTGTGTTGTTGCCCATGCTCTCCTTTTAGCAAACAGGGTTTATTTTGTAACACAAAGGCCTAAATTCCTGCCCTGTTCAGAGATAAGATCTAAAAAGACACCTAGAAAGCAAAATAATGTTAAACATTCCATTAACAAGCTGTTACTTGGTTATCTCATTGTGTTAAGACAGAAAGCTATGTGGATAGGGAGCGATATGGGCTTTGGTGTATTTTGTAATTTATTTATATTTTTAGCAAAATAAGTGAAACCCATAAATAAAATCTACACGTATTGGAAAGGCAAAATGTGAGAACAATTGCTGTGAAGTTGGTGCCCTACAGTATTCCTAAAATGCAGCAGTTGGCTCAATTTTCTCCAAATTTAGCAGTTCTCTGGGGGGTCATTCACAGCATGAACTGGCCACTCTTTCCCATTCTTCCTGACCACGGGTGGGAGTTCCCACCAGTAATTCCATAGAGAAATTCCTGTTAATGGCCAACAGCACCCAGTGTCTCAATAGCTGCTTACTTAATCGCAGCCACCTTTCTTGGTATCGCCCCGAAATGTCTGAGGGATGCAAGCGCTATGACTGTATAGCAACTGTTTCCAGAGTTTTCATCTCCCTGTGCCCTTAGATCTTGATGAGCACGAATTCAAGGGGAGATGTTGTTTTGTGTCGTGAGGGCTACGAGTAAGGTACCAGCAGATGAAGGCAGCAGCTGCAGTGTTTTACAAATAAGAAACAGCCTGAATTCTGTTAGGCAGGTGACAGAAAGTGGTGTAAACATGGGGTGCATAGCTCTGGTTGTTTCTCCCGGCCCAGCCTGGTGCTTCAAGAGGGTATTTTTGCAACACCCTACTGCTCATGCTGGCCAGGCAGGGCAGGGGAATGTGTCTCTTTGCAGTGCCAGCTTCCAGTCTAGCAAGACCAAGAGGCCCAGATCAGGTCTGTTGCCCTCACTTGACAGCAGCACTGTCCACACAGGATCCTGCACTGGGCCGCCCTCAATGCTGCCAGAGATGCCACCCCACGTGCAATTTCGGGAAGCACACTGGGGTGCTCATTGACAGGGCTCCCCCAATGAACAGCAGAGCTCCTCAAGCCAGAGCCCCAATGTGGGGCCACCTCCACTCCATCTGAACAAGTTCCATAACGGCGGATCAGGGGCATGGGTTGCTCTCCCCATAGCTCAGTTGGTAGAGCACGAGACTCTTAATAGCATGTGTTTGAGTCCCATGTTCGGCAAAAATAAAACCTGCATTGCAAAGGGTAGGACTAGCTGATCCTTGGGGTCCCTTCCAACTCTGTGAATATACTGCATATATTCCTATTATATTCCCATTATTTAATACAGTAAATATAAACAATAGAGTTCAGTACCATTGCCATTCTCTGATCAGACTGAAAGAAACTGCAGAGATGTGATTCCGGGAAAGAAGAAAAAACACAGACACAATATTTCAAGTACATTTTTATATAACGAAAAGGGAGGGGTCACCCACATTAAAAACAAAAAAAAATGTTTTCCTATATTAAAAATATAAACAGTCATGTCACAGTTTGTGCTCAAAGAAAAGGACAGTGCTTTTGGTCCCATAAAAAGAAAAGCAAGACCAAGGACGTTTTGTTCCAAGCTTTCCCTGAATAACTAGACTAGAGAAACTCCAACCGATTTTGCAGTTTAACATGCTGCATAATTAAATTCCTCGGTTCTTAGCTTATTTCCTATGTATCAGCACCACCCCTATGCTGCCATGCTGGCAAGGTACTGCTTTGAGTTCTTAAGCACTAAGCATAACATTCACAGTTTGGAGGTTTTTTTGGTAGCTTTCATGTGCTTTCCTGACGTATTCCAACACTTGCTGCAATGTACACCTGCAGGTGTGTTTCAAGGCCTCTTCACACAACCATCAGGCATGTGGTTACCACAGGAAGAGTTTCTGAGAGTGAATGGAAGCATGTACACCTGCAGGTGTGTTTCAAGGCCTCTTCACACAACCATCAGGCATGTGGTTACCACAGGAAGAGTTTCTGAGAGTGAATGGAAGCATGCACACTGTGGCAGAAACACTGCTAACATAATGCAGATTTTGTCTCTCGAGCAGCTGCAGTGCTCTACCCACATCCATCTGGCGATAGGTTGGGAACCAGAATATCACCTGTGGTTTTTCCATAGCTACTGTGTTCCACAGCAGCTGTGCAAAAGATCCCTTATTCACATTTGATCTTCACACTGGTGTGACTTTTTGCTGAGTCTTTAAAAAGACTTTATGCATATATTGCACTATTGATCCTTCTGTCCCTTACCATTAGGTAGGGAGCACCTCAGTAAGCACAGTTTGGGGGACCATGAGCAGAGAGAGCAAAAATAGTCAACAATGAAGCTGACTGTGACATTTTTACTATGTGCGAAGGGGTATCATTTGGTGCCAAAGTGTGTATCTGGGGCCATCTTCACCCTCACGTCATTCTTTAAAGGTAGGCCCAATGCGGTTGCACAAACAGCTTTTAAGGATTTGGGGCTAAAACATTTAAGGGGTGTCCCTATTAATGCGTTTAACTTGAGAAACAGTTTTTCCAAAATGCTAAAGACAATTGGCATAAGCACATGCGATAAATGCACCTCTGCAGCAGCATTGACCAGGTGTGGGATTCTTGCTGTATAGTTATTTATTGATTGTTACACCAAGTGGGACCAGGGAGAGACTGCTCATCTAGCAATACTGGACCTGCAGTAAGTATCTGTACCTGTTCCCTTATCTCTCCTTTCAACTGCTTGCGGCAGACTAGAGCTGCCAATGTGACATTGATCTACAGTCTCCTTGTGGTATCCAATCACAACTGAACTATTTTTGCTCCACTGTACCCTTCAGTGTTATAGAATCTGAGCCTATTTCTGTGCACAGCTCAGCACTGTGCTATTGTACATCTTCCTGCTGAAACAAGGGTTTGAGCTTTCATAGACAGGGCTCTGTATGCTTTTTAACATTAAAGCAACATGCTCAAGTTAATATGAACGCCGCATCAAGAAAAGCTAAAATCTGTGAGACACTTGAAAATGAAGCGTTATCACGGCTTATTTTGCACAACTTACTTCTGCTTTTGTGGGAGGGCAATAGGCGATCCAGCTGCCTGAAATCCTCCTCTGCATCACTAGAAAACCTGCTTAGCTTCCAAGGAAATCTGTGTTCAGATTCCCACTTAGACTTAGTGACTTTGGGTTGCAACATTCTCTCAGCCTAACCTATAGGATTGTCCCAAGTATAAAAACAGAAAGAACTATGTGGGCTGCTTTGAGCTCTCTGAAGGAAGCACAGGATACCTGATTTTATCATTAAAAGACAGGGGATATATCTGTATAAATAAAAATCCAATAGAACTACAGTGCTACCTCTACTTACGTTCACCTCTGGTTACGTATCCTTCGGGAGACGTACGCGGCAAACCTGGAAGTATTTTTCCGGGTTTCGCCGCATGCACAGAAGCAATCTGGTCTACCGCCGCACGTGCATGCACAGAAGCGGTCCCTCCAGTTGCAGAAACCTTGGGATCCGACTGGAGCTCCGAAACATTGGAGAAGGATGCTGTAGCTGCCCTGCGGAGGCTACAAAGGCTGTCCCCGAAGCCTCAAGCCTTTGGAGTGCAGAGGGAACTCGTGCTGCGCTCCAAAGGCTTTGGGTCAGTGAAAGGAACCCGAAGCCTTTGAAGCGCAGCGCGAGGTCCCGCTGCGCTCCAAAGGCTTTAGGGATCTTTGAGGCTGGCGGTGGGGGAAAGCAGCGCTTCCTCCCACCGCCAGCCCCACAAGCTCGGGGGGCAACGGCAAGGCTGTGTGCAGCCTTTGAGCTGTTCCCCGACCTGCTCTTTGGGGCTGGCGGTGGGGGAAAGCAGCGCTTCCCCCTGCCAGCCCCAAAGAGCAGGCCAAAAGGAACCTGAAGCCTCCGGAGCCCAGCAGGAACTCCCGCCATGCTCCAGAGGCTTTGGGTTGCCTTCACTGAAGCCTGGAGAACGAGAGGGGTCAGTGCGCACCGACCCCTCTCGCTCTCCAGGCTTCCAAGGTAGCCGCCTGAAGCCTCCCGAGCGCAGCGGTAATTCCTGCTGTGCTCCGGAGGCTTTGGGTGAATGCACCTTGAACGCACCTTGTTTTAGAGGGGGAGAACAAGAAAAAAAAATTTCCCCCCTGTTCTCCCCCTCCTATGGTCCGGTGCGTCCTATAGAGCGAAAAATACGGTATGTGGTAAGCTACAATACATGGGTGGGGGTACTATGTTCAACTGTGTCACAAGTTGTGTGAGCGTATTTTATGTCCTTTCATAGGGCTAAAATCTTATTTTAATATTTTTAATGAAAAAGATTCTGGGATGGTGAATTCTTCGCCATTCCACAGTTCTATGGCATAACTGCGGAAGTGTGGCTACAGCATCCTTCTCCAATGCTATGTGCAGAAATGGTTGCCCCCCTTCCCATAGATATGATAAGAGTGCCAGATGTTGCTCATCCAACCTCCTTAGCAAGCATATTTCACCTGCATCAACACAGGCCTGCCCATTTCTTGCATTTAGGAATAAGGCACCAAGTCCTGGAGGACTTCACAATTATCTACTCAGATGAACTTTGCATGATGCTTGCAGTATTCATTCAGAGCTGGATTGCATGACCAGATACAGGTATGCTTCAGCTGAGCATGTCATTGTAAAATAAACCTAATACAGGATGGTGATGGTGTGTATACTAATGGTTAGCTCACTTGAATTTGAGCTGTCAGCCCTGACAACTGGAAAGGGAAGCTTGCTCCATACATAATTTTAAAAATGAATCATTTTAAATGCTGCCCCTCTTCCCTTTTTGCGAAATGTGACCCTTGAATAACTTTCCTGCAATCTCTCCTCTAAGGACAACTTCCTATGAACTTGTCTAAAAGACCTCATGGCGAAGAAGCCAGAGACACAGTGTGAAGAAAAGTTCCAACGTTTTAAGAATTGTTCCATAGTCCAGTAGGGTTGAAATCTGATGAGCACCCCAGTTGTCTTTGATTTCAGAGTCAGTCAGCAGGGAGAAAAGTTTCAATTGTTCAGCAAGGGTAAACTCTTCTTGTAGCACAATTTCACTAAGGTTGAAGCCCAGCTCACACACCTTTATCCAAGTGGTGTTCTATTTTATCAACGCCTGGAAAATGTCTTCATGCCGGCCCCTATCTAAGCTTAGTCTGAGCCTAGCTGCATGTCATTAGTCTACTCATCCCTACAACTAATTTTCAGGACTCATTCACGGCTCAGTAATGACGTACAATGGGTTAGCTTGTGCAGGAGACCACAATTAGTGTCTGAATAAAAACAAACTATCCTACTGTGTACACAAAAGAACGAGGAACCTAGGAAGCTCCCACTCCTTCCTGGAATAAGGCTTGATCTGTATTTCTAAGCATAGCACATAGCCCAGTCTGCTGAATGCTGATCCCTGAAGTTGTGTATTTCAGCTGCTTGTAGATCAGGATTTTGTTTTTGTGTGTGTTTTTAGTTTTCAGTCTCTCTTAGAGTGTGGCCATATCAAAACAAAGGTAAGAGCTGTTTGACAGTGGAGCGGTCTCCCTTGGGAGGTTGTGGACTCTTTCCTCGGAGGTTTTTAAAGCAGAGGTTGGGTGGCCATCAGTCATGGGTGCTTTGGCTGAGATTCCTGCATTCCCTTGTTGGGGTCCCTTCCAACTCTATGATTCTATGAAAAAAGGCATGCAGGGTTGCAGAAAGCATTTTAAAAGGTAGAGAGTTAAAGGTTTCAAAAATAGGCAGTGCTTCTTATTAACAGCTCTACTAACATCTGAAATAGTCATTGGAACGAACTGGTCCCATGGTGCTACACAGAAATCAGTCAATTTGAGGAACAGGCTGTAATGGTGGACAAGTGCTGTTGCTTTCTTCTTGCCTCTGATCATCACTGCCACCCATACTGCTGGTCTGCCCAGCTTCTGGGATCTCATCTTCACTGTACAGGTATTTGAATCCATCATAGAATTCATCAGGCTGCATGTCATCTTCATGGGTTTTGGCTCTGAGAAGTATGAAAGCTGATGAGTTTGGCCAGCTCCCTCTGGCTCCTGAGTTAATCTGTGTTGTTTGCTTCACTGTGGAATAACAGCAAGGTAACCTTTTGTCCAAGTGAGTTTGGATGTTTTGGTTTGCAGGGTTGAATATATAAACAGTATTAGATGGTTGGAAGCCCAGGAGGTGCTGATCAACAAGCTCTTTACAGTGGATGAATTGGGTGCTGTCGATCTGTAATGCAATATATAACACAACTATTTTTTTCTCAACTTCTGAAATTATTAGCTGTCATCAATTTTCAGTTCCAGTATCTCCAGCTGTACTAAACTAATGAAGTCAAAGTCTATTTCAGGGGATATGCATAACATGTACTAGTTTCTGTTGCATATAGCAAATGTGGAGTCTGTGTATATCCTGGCTGGGTTCAAACACAACAAAAAACTATAGTTTGTTTTGATGTCAGCCTAACACAAACCATGGCTTGTTTGCTGCTCACAAACCAGGATCTGGAGCTACAGTTTGAAGCTGGTTTGCAAACCATAGCTGCATTAACTGTGGCTTGCTGTTTCTGAATTCACAGACCATTGACAAAAGCACAAAGAGCTATTGCTCTAAGCTGATGCACCACAGACTGAAGTGCACTTATGAAGCAAGTCCTGAGCAGATGGGAACACAAAAGCAGACAAGCTGCTCAAAACCACTGTTTGCTCAAACTATAGTGGAAGTTCAGCCATTGATTAATGCTGTGTTTGAACCCAGCACGTGACTTACTGCTGCACAGGAACCTACCAAATGGCATTGTGCCAGTGGAGAAAAAGGGAAAAAAGAGTCACACGGTAACTCCACTCAGATCATTGAGATTCGACTCTTGCACAGAAATATCCCCTAATACTTACTATAGAGCTTGAAGGGGGCAGGGGAAAGTTGCTATGGCAGAAAAGCCAGAGTTACACCTGGTCTCTCCCCTAAAGATTAGTACGGTAGGACAAGGAACTGGAGAGTAAAGCAAGGCTCAACGTTCTATGCTGTACTGGTCCTCACCTACCCCAGGGTGGTTTTATAGTGCTTTCATTCAGAACACTTGGGACTACTCTGCCCCCCTTGTTCACAGCAGGATTGCATTGGTGCCTAGTGCCAAACCTAATTACTCTTGAATTCTCTAGGTCCTCATTTAGAGCTTGGCTTGGGGAACTGGAGATAATAATAATGATGATGATTTTATTATTTATATGCCACCCATTTGACTGGGTTGCCCCAGCCACTCTGGAAAGCTTCCAACGAAGTATTAAAACCGCAAACGTTTTTTAAAAAACCTACATGTACAGGGCTGGCTTCAGATGTCTTCTAAAAGTCAGATAGTTGTTTATTTCCTTGACATCTGGTGAGAGGGCATTCCACAAGGCAGGCACCACTACTGAGAAGGCCCTCTGCCTGGTTCCCTGTAACCTCGCTTCTTGCAATGCGGGAACCACCAGAAGGCCCTCGGATCTGGATCTCACTATCTGGGCTGAATGATAGGGGTAGAGATGCTCCTTCGGGTATAAGGGGCCAACCAACATGAGGCCATGTGAGTTTTTAAAGTTTGGGGTGTAACAAACTGTCAGAATGAGAACAGTGGTGATGCTCTATTGTTTAGAATAGAGCATCTCTGGAAAGCGTGACCCAAATTAAGCACAATGTCATGGCACCGCATAACCCAATAATGGGCTTGGAATGGCTGCCCTTCATCCGGACCCTAACTTTCATTACACTAACATGGAATTTTGCATCCAGCAGTGGAAAAAATGCATCCTAACAAAAGACACACCCAGCACTCCTGAGAAGTACATGAAAAAACGTACATTAAATGGCGTTAAAGTATTTGTGAAGTTTTTCCATTTTTCTTTTTTCAGTCTTTGTGCTGGCCTCAGAGGCAGTTTGACTCCTACCTGTGCTTTTTTTAGCAGATCAGTAATTACAGGAAACCAGTCAGGAGTCAGCCTCTCCAACTCTAAGGTGATGATCACCAAAGCCAATGTGGAGCCCTTAAACTGCAATACTTGGTGGCATGCCATACAGTGCTGTAGCTGCTTGGTCAAGAATGCGGCATGGCGGGAAGGATTCCTCTGAGGCAGCCCATTTAGTAGATGGGGCCACTTGGACATCACCATGGCATGGAACTGGAGAGAAGAGAAAACATTTATATATCACACACACACACACACATATATATATTTAAGCACACACGCACATTTATTTATATTTATTTATATATATATACGTATATATATATAAAAAAAACAGAACTGAGGTCAACTGTGAACTTTGTACGTTTTCATATGTCATTGACCAGAAGTGCAAACTAATCCTTATTCATGGCAGGAAACCTCTTATAAAGTTTTGTTATTATTTTTTTGTCCTGCTGTTACCATTTGTGTCGTATTTGCCAAATATTGAAATGTTGAAGCTTCTACTGAATGTAACTTAATTCTGAATTCGTTGCATTGTTCGCAATTGTCAATTCAGAAGGTTTTGACTTCTCGTTTGTAAAACTGAGTAATGGTGATAATTCAAGCCAGCAAACAGGAGAGAGAGAGAACAACTGATGATGCTTGGAAGCAGAACTAATACAATCTCATCATCCTGGTTCTGATCAGACATTTCCCCCCAAACAATCCTGATGCCAGGATGACCCAGGAATCCACCCTTTGCTATAAAGCAGGGGTTGGGGAATCTGCAGCTCTCCGGATACTGCTGGACTGTAACTCCTGTCACTTCTGACCACTGGCCAGGCTGGATGGGGTTGATGGGAGCTGGGGTCCAGCCACATTAAGAGAGTCACAGGTCACCCACCCATGCTGTGAAGAGATGAACTCTGAGAGACATTATCACACGACTTTTGCCTTACTATAGCACATGGTAACTTCTTAACGGGGAGTTTTCTTCCGGAAAACGTTTAGCAAATAAGATGTGACTTAAGTGCCAGATCAGAATGATCTAATTTGCCTAAAAATGAGGGTCAAATGTTTTTATGCAGGGTGAGGAGTAAAGAAAAGCTGATCTGAGATGCCCCATTTGTGAAATGTAGCAAAAACTCTGAAAGCTTTTTATGTACAGTATTGAGAGTGCAGATAGTTAGAAATATTTTTGCAGTGTATATTTAAAACAAACGGAACAAATCTCTAGTGGTACAGTATGAGCTCTTTTTAAAAGTCAATTATTAGTTGTCCTTTCAAAATGGGAGTCTACACTGTTTGTAAATCAAACTTATGGAATAGTTGGGTGTTCAAATGGAATTTCAGTATCTTGAACAGTAATTCACTTCAAAAGATTTGCAGATAGTTAAGAATGAGTGGTCTGCGAGGCTAACTAGAAGGGAATGTATGCGCACCATTGCTGTTTTCTAGTCTTATTTGATAAAAACAACAACCCTAGTTTAGCCTTTTGCAAAAAAGAAAAAGAAAACATGTCTAGTGCTTACAATGTTTAAGAAATCGATTGATGTTGCTGTGTAAAGATCCCAGTGAAGTTTATTGAGTATAATTCTTTCCATTCTCACAATCTCAGCTGGAGAACATTTACAACCACTCTGCACTGCAAGCTTCTTTACCGATGGTATTATCTGTTTTAAAACAAAAGGAAAAATAATAATAATAAAAGAAGCCCAAATTCCTATGAAATTTTGTATGGTGTGGTGTGTGTGCCCTACTATCACATAAATGAAATGCAGCCTACTCAACTATCCTCTTTGGGGTAAAACCCAAGAGGTCCTTGAAATAATCCCAATATTCATTGTAGCACCATGTTCTCAGATTTTAATAAAAGTAATTCCCCACCCTTGTGAATTCCCTTATGTATGTGTAAGACTAATTCCATTGGTCATGCATCTTGAGGATGTATGAAAACAACTTGCCTTCAACTTTTTTTGTGTTCTGAAACAATGGCTGGATTCTTCGAGGTTTTTTTCTCTTGTGATTTGGCTATCTTTATTGCATATTCATCTTCACTTCTAGAGGACTAACCTTAAAGCCAGAGAGGGGGACTTCTGCAGGCCAAGGGCCACATTGATCCACAGTCAACTCTCTGAGGTCCACATGTCAAAGTAGGTGAGGATGAAGTGTATAGTGAATGTGCCCCCACTTTTTAAAAAGGACCATGCTTGGGGTGGGGGAATGTCTTGAGCAAGTCACTCAAAAAACTTTCGACACTCCAGAATCACAGTAGGAGACCTGCCTGAGTACCGTATTTTTCGCACGATTGGACGCACCGGACCATGGGACGCACCTAGTTTTTTTGGGGGGAAATAAAGGAAAAAATTTTCCTTTATTTCCCCCCCAAAAGCAGGTCAGGGAAACCGAACCAGGTCGAGGAACAGCGGGATAGTGGCGCTGCGCCTCCCTGCTGTCCCCCAAGCTTGTGGGGCTGGCCGATGTCTGTCCGGTGGGCGGGGAGCTCTGCTTCAGGGCGCCCCACCCGCCAGGCAGCAGGCTGCTATCCGCAGCGTGGGGAGCCCTGTGGGGAACTCCTGCAAGCCTCCCCACTCTGCGGATGTATGCCTGGCACGAGGGGCGCTCTGCTTCAGGGCGCCCCACCCGCCAGGCAGCAGGCTGCTATCCGCAGCGTGGGGAGCCCTGTGGGGAACTCCTGCAAGCCTCCCCACTCTGCGGATGTATGCCTGGCGCGAGGGGCGCTCTGCTTCAGGGCGCCCCACCCGCCAGGCAGCAGGCTGCTATCCGCAGCGTGGGGAGCCTTGTGGGGAACTCCTGCAAGGCTCCCCACTCTGCGGATGTATGCCTGGCGCGAGGGGCGCTCTGCTTCAGGGCGCCCCACCCGCCAGGCAGCAGGCTGCTATCCGCAGCGTGGGGAGCCCTGTGGGGAATTCCTGCAAGGCTCCCCACGCTGCGGATGTGTTCCTGAAGCGCCTGGAGCTCTGCTTTCAGGGCGCCCGGTGCTCTGGGAAGCAGGCTGCTATCCGCAGCCTAGACACGGCTAGCGAGCGCTAATCCCGAAGCCCCAAGCTTCGGGATTAGCGCGGCGCTTCGCTAGCCCTGGGAGAGCCACGCAACGTCGCGGGGCTCTCCCAGGGCTAGCGAGACCTTGCCGGCACCCAGAAGCTTGGGGCGCGCTGAGCTCCGCGCGCCCCAAGCTTCGGGATTAGCGCGGCGCTTCGCTAGCCCTGGGAGAGCCACGCAACGTCGTGGGGCTCTCCCAGGGCTAGCAAGACCTTGCCGGCACCCAGAAGCTTGGGGCGCGCTGAGCTCCGCGCACCCCAAGCTTCGGGATTAATGCAGCGCTCCGCTAGCCGCGGCTAGCGGATAGCTTCCTGAAGCCTGGAGAGCGAGAGGGGTCGGTGCGCACCGACCCCTCTCACTCTCCAGGCTTCAGCGAAAGCCTGCATTCGCTCCATAGGACGCACACACATTTTCCCTTGCTTTTTAGGAGGGAAAAAGTGCGTCCTATGGTGCGAAAAATATGGTAATCAGTAATTTTATAATATGTATAAATACATAAATATAAGGGCTAGGGGTTGTTAATGAACATATTTTTGAAGGATATTGGGAGGCACAAAAACACTTTGGTATTACAGTAGAGTATCCATTCTGTTAAAAAAAAATGTTTTTTTAATTTCCTTTTGTTTTTTTTAAAAAGGACAAATTTTGGGGTTGGGGAGGGCAAAAATACCTCTTGGGGCCTGTGGGTAACAGATTAACCATCCCTGGATTAAAGTTAAGTTTGTGACATCAACTCTAAAACATACACTGAATGAAGGCCTGGCTAAAGTCCATTATGGACATTTCTGAGGAAGTTTACTCCTGAGCTTTAAATGTCAGATTTTGTTCAATAGCAGAGGCCTAATTGTATTCTAGCTTCTACAGTGACTTTGTACACATAGCATAAAATCAGGCCACTAGTACACAGTTTTTCAAGGATTCTTTGAGAAAGGAAACAATTATTATTTAGAGGCTGTTTAACTAAACAACAGAATTTATAAGAACTTGATGACACAATCGACAATCTAGCACTCAAAGCAGAGTTCAGGATTCTTCAGCATATCCAATGCAGAAATGCCACTTAATTTATTTATGCAATGTATTTATATCCCACCTACTCTCAAGTCAAGATCCAAGGTGGCTTCCAACATTTTAAAAGCTTCATTATAAAATACAGAGCAATAAAAATGAACTAGCTAAAAAGAATAATCAAAATTCATCACAAGACATTAAAAACCAGCAATTATAAGGTAGCCCAGTGATCACCTTAGGGACACGGGTGGCGCTGTGGGTAAAAGCCTCAGCGCCTAGGGCTTGCTGATCGAAAGGTCGGCGGTTCGAATCCCCGTGGCGGGGTGTGCTCCCGTTGCTCGGTCCCAGCGCCTGCCAACCTAGCAGTTCGAAAGCACCCCCGGGTGCAAGTAGATAAATAGGGACCGCTTACTAGCGGGAAGGTAAACGGCGTTTCCGTGTGCGGCTCTGGCTCGCCAGAGCAGCGATGTCACGCTGGCCACGTGACCCGGAAGTGTCTCCGGACAGCGCTGGCCCCCGGCCTCTTGAGTGAGATGGGCGCACAACCCTAGAGTCTGTCAAGACTGGCCCGTACGGGCAGGGGTACCTTTACCTTTACCTTTAGTGATCACCTTCGTCTGCATCAAGGGCTCTGCCACACTTCTGTATGCCCCATGCCTAGAAAGTACAGGTCCAAGCAGTTTTCTGTTTGCTCCACAATTTCTAAGCATTGGTCCTTTGCCCTGCTGCTTTCCCCTGGAAAACCCGCTATTTAGTGACAAATTAGACCAAACCAGATTGCCATGTGTTCCAATTTTAAGATCAGGTTTTCCTTGAGTAAGCAGTGAGGCAAACAGAGACAAGCACTTTGAAAACTAAGGCCTGTCTGAATAGGAAGGTCTCAGCTTGTCTGTAGAAGGATAACAAAGAAGGAGCCAATCTAACCTCTCTTGGGAGCGAATTCCACAAAACAGGTGCCGTCACAAAAAAGGCTCTGTCTCATGTCACCACCAACCACGTTTCTGATGTTGATGGGACTAAGGGAAGGTGCTCATTTTAGCACCTGAGCAGGTTTCTACAGGGAAATGCAATCTTTCAGGTAGCGTGGACCCAAGCCTTCAATTGCAACTTGGTGCACTGTTTGCAAGCTTGTCCAGGATACCATGTGGTCATCGAAGCATGGATCGGTATGATTGCATCAGCAACCACCACACATTAATAGATGCAGCATAGCAACGAGACAGGCAACTGAAAAACGGAAAGTGTATGATCCAAGCAGACTAAGGCAAGTCTGAGAGTGACTTACCTAGATGTTCTACAGTAGTTTTGCTGCCAAACATCCAACAATGTCACTGTAACCTTTACACACCTGATACACTGAAATAAGCATTCATAATGGGTTTAAAACTGACAGGTAGCCTATTGGGACAGACAGGCTCCCTCGGACACAGGTTGCCCATAGACTTTCACAGTGGCTTGAGCCATTCCAACTACACACATCCATAAAAAAGGGTGTGTGTCTGTGAAGATCCTGTACATGTCGCTTTAATGGAAGACAAATCCTTCTCTTAGGTTGCCACGTTTAAAACATACACACCTCATCTTCTTCATTGATTTTTGCTGCAAGAACCAAGCAAGCTGTTGCAATACATTGGAGATATTTTAACTGTGCCTGAAAGAGAAGAGTAGTAGTTTAAAGAAAAAGAATGGAGGAAAAATATCCAACTGGGAAAATAACTATTGAAAACTATCTGTCTATCATCTATCTATCTATCTATCTATCTATCATCTATCTATCTATCTATCTATCTATCTATCTATCTATCTATCTATCTATCTATCTATCTATCCACACACACTCATGCTTCTGAGTTGCCTCACTGGTGCACCAAGCAGTAAGAGGAGTCTATCTGAGTAACTGGAACATGGCAATTTAGCAGCGGTACTCTTCAAAGCTATACAATGGTACCTCGTTTTGAGTCCGCCCTGTTTAAGGTCCATTTTGTCCAATGTCTGCGGCAAACTCGGAACGGGTTACTTCCAGGTTTGCCGCCGCGCAGAAGCGCTAAATCGTGCTTTGCGCATGCTCAGAGCATTGCTTTGTCGAGCATCCTTTTCGTCAAGCATCTGGGGCTCTGGAATGGATCCCGGACGCAAAAGGAGGTATGACTGTATATGGTTTATGATGGAATCACTTCAAGTAATTAATACAAGACAGAAAGGGCCTAGCATGAAATGTTTAACAGCCACTGCTTTTTAAAATATCAGAATTAGGACAGGGAAGCGAGATCAGTGTTATTCACGCAGAATGTACCTATTCCATATATTTCCTTTGTTTTCATTTTAATCAAAGCACTTGGATGTGTTTCAGCCCTACCTCATGCTAACACTGATGGAGAAGCTCGTGTCACACTTGGAGCTGTGGTATACAAACAGCTTACAATTTAAGGCAGGCTTCATGGGGTACCAATAGGACTGCACTGCACATCTGGATCCAACTCTCTAATATTAGATGAGTGCATGCCGCAGCCCAGCGAAATCCCCATTATGTTTTCCATTGATAATAAAAGGAATAGAGTGAGGTTGAAGCTCTTTACCTTCACTGATGCCAACAACCGGTTAAAAAAGCTGACAGCCAGAGCAAACGTTTCGGAGCAAAACTGGAAGAGCGAATTCGATTCCCTGATCCACAAAACAGCTTTCTCATAATAAAATGGAGATATGTCTGTGCCCTAAAATGGAATAATGGGGTTGGTTAAAACAAACACAATAATTTGGGATCTGCTGGAGTTTAAAGAACATAACTGAGAGCGAGGCTAGAAATATATTCCAAAAAATTTTAGGCACACATAACAGAGATTTTGCTCTAGCTTCTCATTGCTCACTGTAATCAGGATTGGTTATTAATGTCTAGATGGAAGAGTTTTTGTTAAAGACGAACAGTCTCTTGCCCAAGTGTAAGAGGATGGTTCACAGGTGCAACTACTGAACATGAGAACAGAGCTCTTTGTTTTTACCCAGGCTCAGTCTTTTTACTTGTTTGGAAGGATTCTGTTGCTAAGTAAAAATCACTAAATGTATCCCAGACTACAAAATGCCCATCTGTATAATACAAAGTGCATGGTGGTAGACTGTATGGGTGCATATGATGGGACTGGTTCCCTACCCACTAGAGCAAACCAATTTATATTCATTTTATATGAAGGAATTATAATCAATTTTTGAGGAACTCTTCTTTATCTCCCTACCCCACTCAAACTGGCTAAATAAGGTTGCCAATCTAAGGAAATTACTGGTCAAAGGTTGAAAAATGCATGCCATGTGGCTCTCCAACTTCATGAATCACAGTCCCTTTCTATGAAGAGCATACCTTCAGTGTGAAACCATGGAAGACTGGCACCTTCCAAGTCTCTGTCTCTCTTGCTAGAGCATGCTCCATTGCCAAGGCAAGTTTCTGGCTCTCCGGAGGTCCTGTGCACTTCATAGCGGTTACTGAATAGACCGGCTTCCTAGTGAGGAACCACTACCTTACAACCAGAAAACAAAATAGAACTATTACTATTATTTCTTACAGAACTACAGTCTAATGTGTAAATGGGTCTGCACATAGACTATATAAGTTGAGGCTCTAAAACCATTTTGCCATGTACCTGTACATTACAGGTATGTTTTGATGACCAAACTCTTGGCAGGCAGAAAATATTAGCTAGACAGGTCATTATATCTACTAGACATGGTGACTAATAATTCTGGCTAGTTCTAACCTCAAATGCAATGTGTCATGATTAAGCAACTGAACAGAAGGCTACTCTTTTGTTTATTGTTTTAATCACCTTCTGTTCTGGCTTCTTTTTTTAACCTTCTTTTTCATGCTTCCTGGATGAAGCCTATCCTTGGTGGGGACCAAAGAATGTGATACACCCACTATAAGGAAGGCACTTTAAATTACTTCACATGAAACTATTTCCAGGTGTCAAGCTGCGTGCATTTAGCAGCTCACACTCCAAAATGGACCATTTCCTCTATGTGTCAACACAAAGCCTCTCCCACAAATAGTGGTGGTGACATGGAGAGAAGTGCTCTGTTCACACAGGGAGCTATGGCAGACAGAGAGCTCGCCATTTAAAGCAGCATTTATGGGGTACCAATCATAATGTCTACTGGCTCAGGCACACAGGGAAACACAGCCAACTAACACCCTTTCCCCCCATTGCACGTGGAGAACTTCAAATCTCTTCTTTGGTTAGGGAGGCCCACGACTTATGTATTCTACAATTTATATCTTGCACCTTCAACACTAGCATGATCCCAGAGCGGATTACAGAAATGTAATAAAAGCAATAAATAAGGCAATACTTAAAACAGAAAAAGCATACAAAAACTAAAAGTGGACTCATTTTGTGAGCCCTTGCCATAGAAGCAAAGACATTTGTTCTTAAAACAAACAAACAAAAACCCTGAGCAAACTAAATCTTTAGAGAATGGTTTTAGGATTATGTATATAAAGCACTACAGAAGGAAATTAATTCTCATGGGTGTGAACAAAAAGTGCCTGTGAACTTGTGATTCTCTATAACCTTGATTTCAGTACATTTGTTTTTACATGTGCACACACATATAAGCTGACATGCATTCCCATGGCCAACCACACCCCAGTCTTGCATGTGAATTTGATAACTGGCCAGAATGGTAAACATGGTTCAATGCAAATGTCTGACATCTCAGAAAAGTGACATCTCAGAATGAATGGCATGGTGCTAATCAAGATTGGACAATACATTTGAATGACACATGTCTGGCACACACGAAATTATGGATGTACATTCAAACTTGCAAAGAACAAAAAAACGAAATGATGACAAAGGAAGCTAAGTGTACAAAATCATGTTGGATGTCTCACTCAAAGTGATCTAGTAGCTGTCCTGGATGGGTGAGAAGTGTGTTTAATTATCTGATCATGCTACATCTTCTGGGATTTTTTTCTCCTTCCCTTGTGAAATTCTAATGTACACACGCAGGGGGCACCTTTTCCTATTAAATTCTAAACCAACAAGATCCTTCACACAGCAGGATAATGAGAGATCAGATGATGTCGCACATGTCAGGACTCCCCTCAAAACAACAGCTCTGCAACTTTTTGTCTAGACGGATGAAAACGGATAAACAAGCAGTGATTACGTCACACACAGAGTCACATGCCCTATGGTACCCTACCTGACTATGCAAGTTCTGGATCAGGAGACAACAGAGACAAGGTATGTTTCCTCTTCCCTTGAAAGATAGAAGAGGAAAGCGCTGGTGAGGGTGTCCACAGGAGAAAGGCCTGCGGGCAGCTAAAGCAATGGGATGAAGCATTATGAATGGCACAGACTCATATGAGAATGGACTGGAGTCCATTTGCACAACACTGCATTTACAGTGCCAGAGGATCCATGTGACTATTTGATTGAGGTGTGACTAGAAATTGTGTTAACTCATACAGAGGTTGTTGGGCTCCTGACCAGGCTTCTCAACAATGGAGAGCTTTCAATTTTCCAGTTAGAACCCCCCTTCAGACCTTCATGCCAAATGCACTAAAGCAAGGGATGGAATGGGATGGGATGGAGTTGCTCACGTGCCCATCCCTTCAACCCTTCAATAATTGTGCAACAGGATTTTCCGCTCTCTCCTCATGTACCCCCAACTTTTTGGACAAGATTTGGGGACAGTGCATGGCACACATATGGGGCATGGAGGAATTACTACATTGCATATCTGGAAATCATACTGCTTGCACAACCGTTTTGTTGACTGTCACCAAAATGAGTTCTAATAATTGTTAGGGCTTAAGCCCTGTTCATGTGAAAACAAACAACCCTGCATTTTTGCCCAAGGGGTATTTTATATGCATTTCTCTTCACTGGATTACATGCAGGCTCAAACTGTGGATGGAGCAGGGGCACAAATGCAATCACTAGTGTGGGGCAGGAAATTTTATAGTGCTTCATTCACTTTCTAAGCCACTCTAATTGGCATTGGTAAGTTTTCGGGGGGGGGTCCCTATAATCACAGACAAGCCCCATCCCCAACACCTCTGTCTTCATGTATTTAGTGTGAACACCTGTAGTGAATTTGTAATCATGTTCATTTGAACACACTTATAAATCCTCCCACATCCTCCCAGTTGAGAGGTTCCAAGAGTTCAACAGAACATGCTTAGAAACCCTATTCAGATGTTCACACTTGGGACAAGGCTTGCATCGGCCCCCATTCACATTTTGAGCCCTTCAGTGTTCAGCTGAATGCCTGAACATGGCTTAAATTGCCAGGTTTTGTACTGCACCTCTCTCCTACTGTACAATCAGTCTCTGAATAGAAATCTGTGTTTCTGGAACACTGAGGTGCTGGGGTTAAACACACTGCATGAAACTGGACCCAAAATTAATAAACAAAGGACTAGCCCAATACCACAGGTCCAAGAGGTTGCAGGGAGCAGAGGTTGTGGCAGCTGTTGAAAAACATTGTTCAAATGCTGATGTATGCAGACTGCTACATAAAGTACAAAAAAGTCCACAGTAGCTTCTACAGAATCCTAAGTTTAGCAACAAATCAGAAGCACTCAAAGATTTGTTACCACCCTCAAATTTGTTACTCAAAAATTAGGTTAGAGCACGGTTGTCCCAGCCTCCTCAGCTTGAAGAATTAATGGCTGCCCTTTTCGCCACTACATGTGGGGATGCACAGGGCATAATATCATGGAGTGGTTTGCTAAGCAGGCTATGAAAGTCTTTCAACTGATCCTAGATGCTAACAGATCATAAGCTGTGCCTAGGATCAGAAACCTCCAGGTGAGGAACCTTTTTCCTTCTTAAGGCTGCATTTCCTCATGGGCAACTTTTCAGGGTCTGCAGCCAGTTGTGGGCAAGGCCAAAGGCAAAGGTGGATGTGGTCAGAGGTGAAAGTTGGGTGGAGCAATACTATTACATTTTTATAGTAGGCTACCTTTCAGCCATGCAAAGTCTGATGTTCCTACATGCATATCTCTGCATCCAAGCAAGGAGCTCAAGGATACAGTCCAGCCAACAAAAAGCATGTGAGGGAAGAGTGAAAAAATGACAGTGAGGGGTGTGGCCTGGGGAGAGGAGGTGTGGCTATCCCTTTAAGTAACCACAGCTAAATTTGACCAGGAAAATAACACAATTGAAAACCCTCTTCCCGCACCAAGAGAGGCTCCCCTGACACCTTCTTTTATGTTGTTTGCATAATAGGAAAAAAACCTTTTAAAATAACTTCCCCAAACTTTCTAATCCTCTGCAAAATTATTTTAATGCTGTTTTGTGTTTTGTTTTGCCAACCAATTTTATGCTGCTGTTTTCGAAGGTGATGTTTTAATGTGTACCCCCCTCCTAGATTTATTGTAAACTTAATTTCATTTAAGATGGCGGGTGACTTCGTTGAAGGGTAAGGAATGAATATCCTCAAGAGATAATCCCATCTGAGTGCGGAACTGCAAAAAGTTTGCACTTCTCATAACTTAGAAGCCTTTGTTTACAAACACGGGTGCGTTTCCTAAGTAAAAGGAAGGCCACAAACTGTGGTTCTCCTCCATGTAGCACTGACATCGGGCACATCCTGTCTAAAACCTCAAAAAAACCCCCAGCCTTATACAACAGGGAGAGAAGAGACAGGAAAACAGAAAAGGCTGGAAAACAGACGGCTGATAACCACACGACTGGCCTCCTTCCGTTTTCACGGAAGGAAACAAAACAGACGACGCTCGGATCACATGACTGGCTGGCACTTTAAAACAAAACACACACAAAAGTGCCCAGCTTTTGGAAAGCAAAACTCCAGGCGAACGAAAGTCAAGGGAAGAGATCGACATGGCTAGAGGCGCCTACCAGAGTGCCAGCCCCAGATCGGGACTTGGGAGGGGGGGCACACTTGTCGGTCTCCAGAGAACGAGCCTCTTCCTTCCCCTCCCTTCTGGTCCGATGGGCTCTTACCTCTCTGCCCGGGGCTCTGCCCTTGGCGCTGGGGGCGCTCCTCTCATGCTGTTCGGCTCCGCGTCGCAAGCAAAGGCTCGATCCGATGGGAAGAGGAGGAGGACGAGACGCCTCCTCCGTTCATAGTTGCGGCTGGTGAAGTTAATGGGCCCTGCTAAGTTCCAGAAGTCCGGGTGGAAGGAGCAGCGTCCTCCTGCTTCTAAACCCAGGGTGGAAAATAATAATACAATAGCTTTAAAATATCTTTGCTGGGTCGCCGATGCGCCGTTTGCAAGGTTCCCCTCTCCAAAAGCGCAACAAAACGGCTGGGAGAGTCCTTTCTTTGTGGGCGGATTCAAACCGCGGCAGGCTCCGCCTCTGGGCTTGGGGGTTGCTCACAGCGACAGCGCCTTTCCCCCGGATGGGTCTTGTGGGGGGTGGATGGGGCGAACTGGCTCAGGACGTGACGCCGTGCATGAACCTCCAAGGTGGGGGCGGGTGGGGATCACTGGGCCAGGCGGATTCAACCCGCGTGCGCCTCCTGGCTGACTCTGGAGCAGGATCACCAGCAACAGCAGAGCGTCGATTCCTCTCCTGCCCCAGCCTCCTGGGGGATCGCTGGCCCGCCCCCAACAGTAACAATATGGCCTTTGTTTGGACTGTTCTTGGAAGAGAAAACTCCCCAGTGATCTCTCCTCTAGGAAGAAGGGGGGAAAGGCAAGCAGTCTGGCAAATTCTTCTCCCTCTCTCATGAGACTAGAACTCAGGGCTAAGCAAAAGGACCATGAACAAAAGTACTTCTTTACAGAGGGAATTTGTTCCCCACAAAATCCACCAACTTGGAGGGTTTTAAAAGAAGATAAGTTCATGGAGGGCAATGGCGATGTTCTACCTCCCCTGGTGGAGGCAGAGTGCCTCTGGATGTTAGTTGCTGGGAACCTCAAGTGGGGAAAGCACTCTTGTGCTGGGGTCCTTATTGCAGGCTTCTCTGGGGCATCTGGGCTGGCCAGTGTGAGAACAGGATGCTGGACTAGATGGACCTTCGGCCGGATTTAGCAGGACACTTCCTAGCTTCTTAAGCAAATCACTATGAAAATTCATCAGAATGGCATACTTGCCCAAGCCCAAGACTGAGTTCTTATTCATACTGCAATTCTGGTGGCGAGATAGGAATCCTTTCTATAGGCAAAACAATTAAATGTATAGTGTAGATGGGGTCTACTATTGTGTCAATAACAAAAAAGTTCATACTTTTTTTGGGGGGTGTCCCCAAAGTCTTCCCAGAAAAATAATCAAATCATATATAAAGAAAATGCAAATCTTGAGAAAATTTGGTAGATTTCAGTTTAAAGGGTGAGAGATAACGTAGTTTTACAGTAGTAATCATCTTATTAGCTAAAATAACTTAAGTGTATAAGCAGAGTGCTGCTGAATTGGACCAAATGCCTATTAAGTCCAACATTCTGTTCTGACAATGGCCAATCTTGGGAAGACCCAAGCAGAACATGAGTGCAGAACATCTAGTGGAGACCACTAGGAGTCTTAAAGAGGTAGCTGGTGTTTGTTTGACATAATCAGGTCTCACCAAATTCCAGAATACTTTCATTTGGTGATTAACTTGTCCATAAACAAATGGCCCCACATATTGCCAAGGTATTTCTGCTGGAAGTATGTTCTTTGAGCATGTGAAGATTCTTGTTCCAAACGCAAATAACAAGATGGGGCATGAGACCTGCATGAAGAATCTTTGTTAGGCAATTTGTGAATTTGTCAAGTAGCACTCTACCTGGATCCATAGCAATGGGTTGCAGCGCTTAAGGCCATCATATATGCAAGAACATTCTCATTTTCCCACATACGCTCCAACAGTGGCACTCAGTAGAAAGCCCTGAAATGGAGCATATGGTCCACATATCGATGTACGTGCTTGGTTGGTACGTTTATGAACATTTATTATATATATATAAGACCTTAAACTTTTTATTACAGTTCTCACAAGTTATGTGGCAATGGGTGCAACTTTCACTGACATCATGCATTTAGCATGTTGGGAGCAACCAAGATCCACTGTTCAAACTCTGGGAGTGTGAAACCTGGGTGAGGGTGCGAGTTTTGGAAGGCAATTGTTGTAGGTAGCAGATTACACATACACACACAAAAGGAAAGGGGTTTCCTCTCAGTGGTAGCAGGACACGCATTGCAAGAAGGTTCAGTCACAGGCATCTCCAGATAGGGCTGTGAAAGACCCTGGAGAGCTGCCCACCTGTGCAACAGACAGTTCCGAGTTACACGGTGCCTACAAGCCCTACGTGGCTTCAAATCAAGCGGCACAGAACACCTGCCCGCCATTTGACGCGATGGACGTTGCTCAAATACTCGCCTCCCCCGAAAGTTTTTGCTTCAACTGCTTCGGACACCATCCGGAGCTGGCGGAGCACATTGCAACGAAGGCAGTAGAATGCCTCTCCTCAGCACTCGAGCGCACTTTCGGCGGCTTCCATAGCTCAGCTGCTCGCGGACTGCCAGCTTGAATGATTGAGACCCAACAACGTGACCCGAGCGCATCCACACATTCTCCTCCCCGACGCCCCTCTTCCTCCTAGTCTCCCACGTACTGCGCCGCCGCTCTGCCTTCCTTTCCTCCCATTGGCCGCATTCCCACTCCAATAGCCGCCGGGCGCCGGAGCGGCCGCTTCCTTATTGGCTGACAGGCCTCTGCATGACGCAGACTGAGGACCGGAGGCGGGGAGGAGCGGAGAAGGGTGGGCTGCTCCCGCTGTCATCCCGAGTCGGCGCAGGCGCACTGGGGCCGGCTATTGTGTTAACCATTATTGTAGCGAAGCGGACGGGCTGCCGCCGGCCTCCTGTTCCCTCAACGCCCCGCAGTCCCGGGCCGGAGCCCCTCCAGCCCCACTGAGTCCAGCGCAGGCAGGCAGGCAGGCAGGCAAGATGCCGGTGAGAGACCGCGCTTCCCCTTCCCCGGCGCCTCGTCCCCTTCCCCGCCCTCCCTGCTTCCCTACGCGCTGCGGGTCCGTTGCTAGGGGCGGCGCTGGCGGAGAGCGAGGCTGGGCGCCGGCGGGTGAAGGGCCGGGAGGGCGGCGGGCTGCAGGGCTTCTTGCGGGGGGCGGGCGGTTCTGCAGGCTTATGAGCCGGGGGGCGGCGGCTTCGCATGCATTAAACGCGTTGCTGCTGCTGCTGTTAATAATGTCTACCTTACAGGAGTAAATAACATCTACCTCACCTATGCTGTTAATATCTATCTGCCTTATGTATAATATCTACCTTACAGCGGTTTTTTTTAAAAAAAGAAAAAGCCACCTACAGAACCGATTGGAAAATTCGCAGTAAACGCATGTGGGCTGTTGTGAATATTATATATGTATGTGTGTCTGTGTATACATGCATACATATACAGCGCTTTATTTCTGGGGGGACGCATACCCCTAAACATTTTGGGAATCTTTGTACTTTTGTCCATTTACTGTATTTATTTTTCCCAATGTGAACTATGAAATGGGGATTTTCTTGAATCAAAATGAGAGTACCCCTAAACATTTTTTTAGAAAAAAAGCACTGTATAGACACACACACACACACACACACACACACATATATATATCACCGTGGGAGATGACTTAGGTGCTGCTAACACAGCCGTTTGACTTCACATCATTGATGTCTCTCAAGACAGATGAATGCCAACCATGTATGTATGTATGTATGTATGTATACTGGTCATTGGGCCTGGGCCCTGAAGGCAGCTCTCAAAAGTGAGATCCCTGCAGTATGAAGCCGATTGAAAATCCAGAATGAAATCATCGTGCAATTACTTGTTGTGATGCTGTGGATAGATGTACCTCGCTGAGCAGGGCCTTCCCTGAAGGCAGTTTTCAAAACAAGGTTTTTGAGGATTGTGGCCATGTTTAAATATGCAATAAAATCATGTGATTATTGGTTGTGATGTTGTGGGCATATGCCATACTGGGCAGGGACCCTTGAAAGGTAGCTTTCAAAATGAAATCCACAATAAAATTGTGTGATGTCATATGGTGATCACAGTCAATGCCTTCATCCTTAAGGCAGAGCAAGTTTTGGTATTTACTACTGTGTGCATTGGTGACTGTTATCCTGTGTTGAATTAAGCCCTGACTCAGTTTTGTATGTTGGGGATGTCTGTGGAATAAGTGTTTCCTGGGAAATGTGATTGCAAAAATAAAAGTAAAATATATTTAAAAGATGATCCCAGAAATCAAATTTAGCTGTAAAGGTCATTGAAATCTCCTCAGGTTAACTTAGTATGGCTTATGTTAATTTTGCTTGCATTAGAATATCATGCCTTATACCTACATCGGTGCTGTGAACTTTCACTGAAGCTGTTCATTTGCTTTTTTTGAAGCAAAACCAACATTTTTTCCTGTTGTTACAGATGTCACAATGTATGTGTAGTTGAGTCAGAGCCTTTTAATGCATTCTGTTGTGTCTAAGTAAAAGCCTTTTGATGTGTTTGTGATTTCCTTGCTGTGAAGTCATATGCATCCTTTGTAAAGCTGTAGCAACTTTATTAAATGTGTCTGCTGTTCTACAGCAAGACTTCCTAGTCAATTTAGCGTGAAAGTTTAGACATCAGAGTTGTCTCAAAATTTGTTAAACTGTGGCTCTCCAGGTGTTGCTGGCTTTTAATCTCCCATCATCCAATGGGGGTTATCACCATCCTAACAATGGTGATTGGATTGGACGTGAATTGTATTTAGCAACATTTGGGTGGAGTGTGGGTTTCGACTGCTGATAAGTAGGAGTGGTCAAAGGGTTTACGATTGCGCGCGCACACACACACACGGAATTTTGCAGGACCCTCCCAGATGGCACCCACCAAAGTGGATGCAAGCACATAGGTAAATATTAAGGAGCGGATGAAAAACCTTCCCAAAAGCTGCTATTGCTTTTCCTAGAAGAACCATTTGCCTATACCTTTGCTCAGATTTATGATTCTGAGATATGTACCGTATTTTTCAGCCCATAGGACGCATCAAGTTTTTTGGGGGGAAATAAAGAAAAAAAATTATTCCCCCCCCAGGCGCTTGTGGGGCCGGCAGCGGGGAGAAGCGCTCTTCTCCCTGCAGTCCACCTTCAGACCAGGTCCGGGGACAGCGGGGAGACGCGCTGCGTCTCCCAGCTGTCCCCGGAGCTTGCAGGGCAGGCAGCGGGGAGAAGCGCTCTTCTCCCCGCCGCCCGCCTTCAGATCAGGTCCGGGGACAGCAGGAAGACGCGCTGCGTCTCCCAGCTGTCCCCGGAGCTTGCAGGGCAGGCAGCGGGGAGAAGCGCTCTTCTCCCCGCCGCCCGCCTTCAGATCAGGTCCGGGGACAGCAGGGAGACGCGCTGCGTCTCCCCGTTGTCCCCGGAGCTTGCAGGGCAGGCAGCGGGGAGAAGCGCTCTTCTCCCCGCCGCCCACCTTCAGATCAGCTCCGGGGACAGCGGGGAGATGCGCTGCGTCTCCCAGCTGTCCCCGGAGCTAGCGGGGCAGGCAGCGGGGAGAAGCGCTCTTCTCCCCGCCGCCCGCCTTCAGATCAGGTCCGGGGACAGCAGGAAGACGCGCTGCGTCTCCCAGCTGTCCCCGGAGCTAGCGGGGCAGGCAGCGGGGAGAAGCGCTCTTCTCCCCGCCGCCCGCCTTCAGATCAGGTCCGGGGACAGCAGGAAGACGCGCTGCGTCTCCCAGCTGTCCCCGGAGCTTGCGGGGCTGGAGGTGGGGTCTCCCCGCCGTCAGCCTCCAAACCACTTCGGGAGACAGCGGGATGGCGGCGTTCCGCTTCCCTCTGTCCCCCGACCTTGTGGGGCTGGCGCTGGGGCTCTCCTGAAGCCTGGAGAGCGAGAGGGGTCGGTGCGCACCGACCCCTCTCGTTCTCCAGGCTTCAGTGAAAGCCTGCATTCGCCCCATAGGACGCACCCACATTTCCCCTTCATTTTTGGAGGGGAAAAAGTGCGTCCTATAGGGCGAAAAATACGGTAATATAGAGAACCAGGCCTTTGGCTGGTTGACATCTGATGCCCTTTTGAAGGGGGAGATTATTGGATTGTCTTCATTTTTGTTTTTATTATGTATTTTGTGTTTTTTATATTGTAATTTTTTGTTGTAATTTAAACAATACATCTTCGTGGAGGATGACATGGAGGCTAAGGCTTCAGTCTTAACTCCACTTACCTTGGAGTTAACCCTATTGGATCAATAGGACTGACTTCTAAGTAGATACGGTTGGGATTGTACTGTTGGTGCTTAAATTGCCCACATACCACCTTGTGTAAATGCATCTCTGACTTAGAATTGTAGAATTGAAAGGAGTCTTGCAGGTCATCTAGCCCAACCACTAAGCTTGCTGCAAGAAATCCAGAACTAGATCATCCCCTACAAGTTGCTGTTCAGCCTCTTCCTTGAAAAGGCAAGCAAGCAAGCAAGACCCCAACCCTATTCTGGGTAATTGGTGCTAATGTCAAATTGCTCAAGCTGTTCTGCTAGTGTTCAACTATAAGCCCATTTGAGCTAGTGCCTGTGGCAGCAGATAACAATCTTTGCCCTCTTCTATGTGATAGCCGTTCAGTTTTTTGAAGAGTATATAGTCCCCATCAGTTTTTCTTTTCTTTTCCAGGCCAAATATACCCAGTTCCTTCAGTCTTTCCTCATAAGACCATCTTTGTTGTTCAGTCTTTCCTCCTGACCATCTTTGTTGCCTTGCTTTGAACCCATATTTCAGTTTGTACCCTTCGTTAAGCGTGGCACCCAGAACTGGACATGGTACAGTATTCCAAATGAAGTTGGACCAATTAATGGAGTTTAAAATCAGATTTGCCTTGTTTGCAGCTGCATCACACTACTGACTCATGTTCAGTTTGTAACCAGCTACAGTCCTCAGATCATTTTCACCTGAACTGCTGCCAGCGCAAATATCTTTAATCCGAGACCTGCATATTCGATTTTTTAATTTTCTTTTCACTTTTGCATAAATGCAGAACTTCACAGTTTTATTTTGTTAGCTTTTTGTTTTAAATTGTTTTGTTTACAAACATGTATATCAAAGAATATTGATATTGACAATGTTCTTTCAGTGCATGGTATTTATAATATGGTTCACATAGAAAAGTGGATTTGTAACTGGCTGACTGACCGAACCCAAAGGGTGCTCATCAATGGTTCCTCTTCATCCTGGAGAAGAGTGACTAGTGGGGTGACACAGGGTTCTGTCTTGGGCCCGGTCTTATTCAACATCTTTATCAACGACTTGGATGATGGACTCAAGGGCATCCTGATCAAATTTGCAGATGACACCAAACTGGGAGGGGTGGCTAACACTCCAGAGGACAGGATCACACTTCAAAACGACCTTGACAGATTAGAGAACTGGGCAAAAACAAACAAGATGAATTTTAACAGGGAGAAATGTAAAGTATTGCACTTGGGCAAAAAAAATGAGAGGCACAAATACAAGATGGGGGACACCTGGCTTGAGAGCAGTACATGTGAAAAGGATCTAGGAGTCTTGGTTGACCACAAACTTGACATGAGCCAACAGTGTGACGCGGCAGCTAAAAAAGCCAATGCAATTCTGGGCTGCATCAATAGGAGTATAGCATCTAGATCAAGGGAAGTAATAGTGCCACTGTATTCTGCTCTGGTCAGACCTCACCTGGAGTACTGTGTCCAGTTCTGGGCACCACAGTTCAAGAAGGACACTGACAAACTGGAACGTGTCCAGAGGAGGGCAACCAAAATGGTCAAAGGCCTGGAAAAGATGCCTTATGAGGAACGGCTAAGGGAGCTGGGCATGTTTAGCCTGGAGAAGAGGAGGTTAAGGGGTGATATGATAGCCATGTTCAAATATATAAAAGGATGTCACATAGAGGAGGGAGAAAGGTTGTTTTCTGCTGCTCCAGAGAAGCTGACACGGAGCAATGGATTCAAACTACAAGAAAGAAGATTCCACCTAAACATTCAGAAGAACTTCCTGACAGTAAGAGCTGTTCGACAGTGGAATTTGCTGCCAAGGAGTGTGGTGGAGTCTCCTTCTTTGGAGGTCTTTAAGCAGAGGCTTGACAACCATATGTCAGGAGTGCTCTGATGGTGTTTCCTGCTTGGCAGGGGGTTGGACTCGATGGCCCTTGTGGTCTCTTCCAACTCTATGATTCTATGAAAAAAACATCTCAGTGTAAATCTTTTACTTGGCAAATGTAACACATTTAAATATGGTGTAAACCCTTTTGATATTTGGGGATTTTACAAAAAAATCTGCAATGCAGTTTGACTTACTTTTGAAACATGTATGCTGCAATCCAAAGAGATAATGATGCGCCAATATTCTGGCGTCACCCTCTTTTTTTGGTCTGTTGATGTTCTCTTTCCCTTTGGAGAATCTGGGGAAGCATCTTTGAACTCAGGCAAGTTTGGGAAAGGGCCTATAGTCCCTCTCACCATGGCAAGTACAATAAGTTCCAGTCTTCCCCCTAACTTAGCTGGAAATGATCCCTAACGTTGTGCTTTGAAGGTGCTTGGAAGTCTTTGGAGATACAGCGCAAGTGCACAACAATTGTGGGGATGATGATCCTCTGCCTCAATTCCAAGGTTGGGACAAAGGTTCAGACCCTCATCTTGGAGCACTGAAACAAGCCCCAGACCAGGAGAGGGATGAATAATTCTTCCAGTGGCACAGGGTACCTCTTAATCTGCTGGGTAAATGCAGAGGTAATCCCTGCTCCCTCCCCTGCTTTTTTTAAAAAATCTTATATCTAGAGAATACAAGTCTACAAGCATCTGAAACAAGCATCTACAATAAATTTAAGCAAAGGTCGATTTTTCAGTTTCTTGTGGACCTTTCTCCAAGCTTAGAGCTGATACGGGAAGCATGGGAGAGCCTTTGAAGGTGTGGTGAAGTTAGGGTCAAGTCCTTTCCTCACAACCACTTTGGGTACGGGGCACAGGCAACCATAAATTTTGAGCAGGTACCAAGGCACTCAAAAAAGTTGAAGGGCCTTGAATTTGAGGGTTCAGTGTAACAGTATGCTGTTTCTCTGCCATCAGAAGTAGTTGTTATCTAGTAGGTAGTGATTACAGATCACTTATTTGCTTTACAGCTTTGTTTCTTTCATGAATTATAATTGGTTATTTTCTTTCTTTATGTAGATTAACAAATCCGAGAAGTCGGACAATTCTGATAATGTTAAGGTTGTTGTTCGCTGCCGACCTTTCAATGAACGGGAGAAAGCAATGTGTTACAAGATGGCAGTTAATGTCGACGAAATGCGAGGCACTATTACTGTCCATAAAACAGATTCTTCCAATGAACCTCCCAAGACATTTACATTTGATACCGTTTTTGGACCAGAGAGCAAACAACTTGATGTTTATAATTTAACTGCAAGGCCAATTATTGACTCTGTTCTAGAAGGTTATAATGGTAAGTGCTTCTTTGTTGCATAAAAATGATGGTATAAGGGACATCATTTTGTAGTAAACACCCTTCTAGAGCTGACCCTTGTTTTATTAAGAATTGCAAATATCCCGTGTTGTTTGCACCTACTGTTCTGCTTAATTACAGAACGCCAACTGTTCATAAAGTGTTCTGTTTCTGAAAAGTGCCTCTGTTTTTCTAATTGCTAACATAATCATCAACAACATTTTACTGTGATTAAGACCTTTTCACACACTTACATAATATTCATCCTTCTGCATTATAATCTCCCAAGTCCTCTTAGAATCATATCTGGTCCCCATCAGACAGCATGTAGATTTCCTCTCCTTGTTGCAGAGGCAACTTTAGTTTAGAGAAATAGTTGTGTCCAGGGATAGCCAGCATGGTACCTTCCAGATACAGTTGGACTACCAACACCCACCGGCCTGTTCAGACCTTGGGCTCTCTTGCACTCCTCTTTCCCCTTTCTTCTTTCAGTGATGCTGCAAGGAGGAGACTGGCAGGGTCTGCTTCCTGTTAACAGCAACTGCATCCCGCTCACAGTAAAAAGTCAGGATCATAAAACACAGGTCCTAGCTTTGTCCAATAGTTTAAACCAAACTACTAATATTTCCACAGCTGCATTAAAGGAAGAGATGGGCAAGGTCAAAGTTTTAGCAAGCTCATTGACATAGCACTGAACCATAGTTTAGCATTGTGTCCATGCCAGGACACGACACCATCCCTGACTTTTCACTTGCTGTTTCCCCAATTCCTGTTATAGGCCTGTTCCCACATTATGTATGTATGTATACGTACATATGTATATATGTCTGTCTGTCTGTATGTATGTATGTATGAATTTGGATACATATACTCGAGTCTCCCACCACCTTCTGATGTGTAAGTTGCATTCATATAGAAACCTTGAAGTTTTGTTTTGTTTTTAAGGCGAGAGAGAGAGACCTAATTATGGAACCATGCACCCTTCGTAGTAAATGGGGAAGGTGTGTGTTTTGCACTTAGTACAGTAATGTGTATCCTACTATGACAAGTAAGGTGAATTTTGGGCCTGTGTTAGAATTAGTGGAGGGTGTTACTGAACTTGTACATGGAGGCTGCTAGCCAATACTGCTGAGAAAAAATCCATTAAAAATCAATTTTAATGGGTTTCCCCTTCTGTGCTTGTCCTAGTGATACATGCTTTCTCAGTAAGTAACAATTTTCTTCCCCAGTCTAGTGAAACTGACCAGAGGTAATGTTAAATTCCAATCCTCAGTTTCAATGAAATATGAGGAGATGGTTTAATGAAGGCAAAACTAAGGAGGTGGGAGTATGTTGAGTCTTAGGTTCACTGTGGCCGGTGCACGTCGTGCTAAGCTAAACCATGATTATTATTATTTCATACCCAACCATTGCTATTTACATTGTATTGTCTTAATAGTGCTGGTGGTGTCCAAGAAAGGATTAACAACTTTTCTGCCCTATATTGCAGGCACCATTTTTGCTTATGGACAAACTGGAACGGGGAAAACATTTACTATGGAAGGTGTCCGGGCTGTTCCAGAACTCAGGGGGATCATTCCAAATTCTTTTGCTCATATTTTTGGCCACATTGCAAAGGCAGAAGGTGATACAAGGTAAATCACTTACTTGCTTTCCTCACCCCCAAACCCTAAAACACCAGTGCTGGGTGAGGCCAATGGCCAAAACTAATCCAGCAACCTGTTTCAACACATTCTCAGCTCGATGCTTCTTGGAAGCCCACAGTCAGGGCAGTCTGTTGCATTTCCCCTTCATCTGGTGTTTAGAGTGTTAGGTTAGACTGAGGTTTGGATTACTTGTGAACATGGAGGTTGCAGTTTAGCTATTTGTGCTATTATGTCTACCCAAAACCATCCTCCGTGAATTTGTCTTATTTCCTACTAAAGCCACTGGCCATGGTCACATCCTGTGGCAGTGAATTTCACAAAGAAATATGCTTTGCGTGTGCTGGATCTACTGTGTCTTAGTTTCATTACATGGTCAACATGGTCACATTCTAATGTGAGGATGATTATTTTCTCTCTCTGTAACATCATTGTTTTGTAATCTTGCATCATGTTCCCACTTTGGCTGCATCTTGTCCCCCAAAGTCAAAAGTCAAAAATGCTTTCACATTTTCTTACAGGAAACATGCTCCAACCTCCTGATTGAAATAAGATCCCTTCATTATTAGTTTTACATCAATCTGGTGTTTTGTATACTTGCTTGTAAGATCAAATTAATTCTGAATATGTTCTTTTTTCTGGGTGCATTAAACTTCAGGTTTTTGGTCAGAGTCTCTTACTTGGAAATCTACAATGAGGAAGTGCGAGACCTGCTGGGGAAGGACCAGGCACAGAGGCTGGAGGTAAGCACCAGTAACTTTTGAACTAGTGAGCAAAGGGAATGGTATAACAAAATTACTAATGGGCAAATACAAAGTGTTGTCTCCAAATGTCACTCCACTCATCAGAAAACTCTTCACCCCAGCAGCAGCTTCTGTGAATGAAAGAGTGAAGGAAATTATTTTTTTTGCCAATTCTCACTTTCTTCTTCACCCTCTCTCATGGTGTTCCAGAACTTCCTTAACCCTCTGGAATTTATTTGGTGAAAATTGCCTTCCCCCCTCCCACCTTCCATTCACAGAAGCTTACACTCAGAGAGTCTTCTGTGAGCAGAGGGACAAAGGGCAGTATTTGTTTAAAGGCTGTTTTTAGGTGCTTTCCCAAAATGACTGCCTGATTTGTCTTATAGGTTAAAGAACGACCCGATGTGGGAGTCTATATCAAAGATCTTTCAGCTTATGTTGTAAACAATGCGGATGACATGGACAGAATTATGACACTTGGTCACAAAAACCGTAAGTTGCACATAGCCATCTAGCTGTTCTTGCCTCTGTTATAGACATTATGTCTATGAGGTGGGCAGGGCTGCAAGTTCCATTGCACAGTAAGAAATCCTTGGGCTGACAGAAAGAGTTAGTTGGATACCATCCAATTGTAGCTTTTCTAAATTATTAATTTGCATACCAACCACTATCCAAGCAGTTCACAGTGGATGCTTTTATTTTTGTAATTACCCTGTACATCAGGTTAAACTGAGAGATAGGTTGACTTGCCTAAGTCTGTTAAGGCTATTCAGTTTCATAACTGAGGAAGGATTTGGTTCAAATCTTATCACTATACTACACTGGCTCTTCAGCTGAGCTCTTATGCTCTTGTGGAAAACAAGAGACATGCCAGCCAATTTAGGAAAATACATAATACCTGAATGGAAGTTGGACGCCAACCGTTCGGGGGTCGCATAACTAGTTAGCATGCCAGAGTCTCGATAACGAATGAGACTCTGGCATGCTAACTAGTTATGCGACTAGTTATCCAACTTCTTAGAGGGACAAGTGGTGTTCAGCCATCCGAGATTAAGCAATACCTGAATGGGTAATTGAAACCTTTAAAAATTATGTACAGTGGTACCTCGCAAGACGAATGCCTCGCAAGACGAAAAAGGCGCAAGACGAAAGAGTTTTCCGTTTTTTCAGTCGTTCCGCAAGATGAATTTCCCTATGGGCTTGCTTCGCAAGACGAAACGTCTTGCGAGTTTGTTTCCTTTTTCTTAAAGCCGCTAAGCCGTTAATAGCCGCTAAGCCGTTAATAGCCGCTAAGCCGCTAATAGCCGTGCTTCACAAGACGGAAAAACCGCAAGACGAAGAGACTCGCGGAACGGATTAATTTCATCTTGCGAGGCACCACTGTATTTGCTGCATGTGGTTGGTTGGTAACCAGCTGAAAGAAATCTAAGCTTCATAATACCAATTAAATGTCACTAAAGTTCCTGATGTTTCCCGTTGGCTTATTTTTCTTCATTACCTATGCAAAAAATGCTTGCAGACTGAAGACAACTGGGATGCAGATTCTTGATACCTTGAGTTGTTAAAAAAGAAATATCATTCAGCTCTCAAAGTGAGAACTAAATCTAAATGAATTTCTGTCTTCCACTATGACTGTATGTGCAGCTGAATCAAAAGCTGTAAATTTGGAGCACCAGAAAACATTGCTGCTGTTCACCCTGGGCAGTGTTTCCTTGGACTATCACAGCTGATGTGATAACGGATGCATTATAGATGTGTATTTGTTTTTAGAAGTAAGAAGCTGTGATTATTATGCATTAATTTGATAAATAAGGGCCAAAGACAACATGTGTGCCTCGGTATTATAGTTTTTGAAACAATCTGTGCAAAGTGTTGCAGTTGCTCTGGTAGTCTCAGAACAGTGTTATTTCAGTTCGGGTGCTGTTATTGTTTCATATGTTATTATTGTTATGCATCTTTGTGCATTTATATTGTAAACTGCCCTGTGAGCCTCAGATGAAGGGCAGTGTAGAAATATTTTTTTTAAAAAAAATGGAATTGTTAATGTAAGCCTTTACTTGTACATAGGTTCTGTTGGTGCCACTAATATGAATGAGCACAGTTCCCGTTCCCATGCTATCTTTACAATTACAATTGAGTGCAGTGAGAAGGGTGTTGATGGGAATATACATGTGCGCATGGGCAAACTGCACTTAGTAGATCTTGCGGTAAGTTGCTACATTCATTCCTTGCGGAGAAGTTGTTGCATGCATTTCTGATGCAGCTGTCTTGGGCTATCTTAACACGAGGGCTGAGATACCATCACAGGAGACCCTTCTTTCAGAGCCATCTTGTGCGGGTACTCAAAAGCAAGTGTCTCTGTATTAAGTGGTGCTTACTCACCAAGGATTGCTGGCTCAAAGCATTGGGACAACTTGGGCAAATTCACCCAAGTTCAGTTGCAAGGAAGAGGAAGACCATAACTTTGCAGGAACAGTCTTAAAAGCTTTACTGTGTAACTATCATTAAAATTGTGGAGGATGAGATTCTGTGCCATGTTTTCTTCTAGGAATTGATTCTTGGTTTGTTGGAAAAATGTAGTAGGTTCCCTTAGATCAGTTGAAACTTCTGTGCCCTAGCTGGACTTTTTCTCCCTACCAGTGTTTAAAATACAGTGTCTGTTCCTGAAAATCCTCAAATACAAAAACAGTATATCTGGAACTTTATTTGCCTTTTAGCTTGTGTGCCTTTTATAACCCACAGCAATCATGATCTGCCCCTCTGGCTCTGCAATAATGAGGCCTAGGGATGTTTTATTTAATAAAAATGATCCCACTGTTCCCTCTTCCTGCAGTGCAGTAGCTTTGTAATACTTCTTTTTCTTCTTATTTTCAAGTCTGGACCCCAAGGCATTGCTTGTAGCAGTTGTTATTTTAGGGATGTCATCTGCTCTAGGGTTCCTTGCAGTGTTTCTGGGGTGCAGCTTTTGAGTCAGACACCAAGTATGAACTTCTTGATTAACTGAAGTTTCCCCTTTTCTCATTTTATTCAAATGGGCAACCCCATTCTTTCCTTTTCTAGCTGCTTTGCAGTGTTCTGTGCTCTCATTTGCAGAAAATGCTTGTGCTGGAATTTTCCATCCCTTCTCAATTTCTCCTCTCTCTTTTTCAAGGGATCAGAGAGGCAAGCAAAAACTGGAGCCACTGGGCAACGACTAAAGGAAGCTACCAAAATCAACCTTTCCCTCTCTACCCTTGGGAATGTCATTTCGGCATTAGTGGATGGAAAGAGCACTCATGTGCCTTACCGGAACTCTAAACTGACTCGACTGCTACAGGATTCCCTTGGAGGCAACTCTAAAACTATGATGGTAATGACGAGAATGTCACATTCAGTTCCATAATGCTCTAGTGAGCCGAGGCAACAGCTTCTTGTAATAGCTGCTATTGCTACTTCTCCTTTATGCTCCTTCCCAAGGAGTTTCCACACAGCACTTTCTCCCTGCTTCCCATTTTGTCTTCACTAAGCAGGGATTTCAGTTGGACAGCTTGTACAATATGCCACACCAGCCCTTAATGGGAATTTTTTAATGTGTTTGTTTTGCTGCAAAATTATGTGTGGGATTCAGTTAAGTTGTTGTATACATGGAACAATGTCTGCTAGTACAGCTGGACTCCCTCCCCCTTATGTGCTCCCATATACCTTAAATCTACCCTGGTTCAGGTTTGGGGGGCATGTGGGGGAAGGAAAGTCTTGTTGCACAAGTGAGCTTCCGTCTGCATGCATACCCCACTTAGCGCTACCTTGAATTCCACCCTCTATAAGTAATATATACAATATGGGGTGTGTATGTGAAGTTTGAGCTTTCCATGTTTGGGGTTTGGGTTAGCATAATTCTTGAAAGCATGATAAAGCAGGCAAATACATACAGAAACATTTTTTTTAGCCTGGTGTGTTTAGTATAATGTAGGAAGCATTACCAATTGGTGAAGCAGACATGAACCACATAGATAAATAACTTTATACATTTCTATGCATTAAAGGAAAGGTGCTAGTTCAGGCGGTAGAGCATGAAACTCTTAATCTCAGGATCATGGGGTTGGGCAAAAGATTCCTGCATTGCAGGGGGTTGGACTAGATTCTGTGATTCTATGGAGCCACCTCTTTATCTAGCCAGTGTGGTGTAGTGGTTAAGAGCGGTAGTCTCCTAATCTGGGGAACCGGGTTCGCGTCTCCGCTCCTCCACATGCAGCTGCTGGGTGACCTTGGGCCAGTCACGCTTCTTTGAAGTCTCTCAGCCCCACTCACCTCACAGAGTGTTTGTTGTGGGGGAGGAAGGGAAAGGAGAATGTTAGCCGCTTTGAGACTCCTGAGGGGAGTGAAAGGCGATATCGAAATCCAAACTCCTTCCCTCTTCTTCTTCTTCTTCTTCTTCTTCTTCTTTTCTTCTTCTTCTTCTTTCTTCTTCTTCTTATCTATTAGGCTTCCTAACTGGAGTGCCCCCTGTATAAGTTCAGGCCAAATCCGGGCACAGGAATTTGTGAACCAAGTAGGGGTCTCTAACAGCCGGACAACAGACATTTGGCCTTCAGTTATGCTTTGGGCTGAGATCTGTAGAGCAGCCCCATGGCCAACAGGCAACAAAACTTTACCCTAAATGTCATCACTGTGCTGTGCAGTCTGTAGAATTGACTTTGTTTTTCTTCAAACTGTAGTTTTCTAGGCTCTTGCTTCCACCCAGCTTTTTGTACATAGCTTTATTCTTCTTTCTTAGTGTGCAAACATTGGTCCAGCAGACTACAATTATGACGAGACTATCAGCACTCTGCGATATGCCAACCGTGCCAAGAACATCAAGAATAAGGCTAGAATTAATGAAGATCCAAAGGATGCTTTGCTTCGCCAGTTTCAAAAAGAAATTGAAGAACTTAAGAAAAAGTTGGAGGAAGGTAACCTGCCAACTCTTTTCTAGCAGTCCTTTTTCAATAGAGATTACAAGCAGGTAGTAGAAATAGTACTGAGTGTCCAAATTACCTTTATAACTTTCCAAATGGCAGAGAAATTCTGATTGTTAAAATGCTTAAAGATTTTGAACCTGTCCTCATAGGAAGGCGTGGGGAACCTTGGGCCCTCCAGGTGTTGCTGAACTACAACTCCCATCTGCCCTAGCGAGCATGGAGAATGGCCAGGGGTGATGGGAATTGTAGTTTGGCAACATGGAGGGCCAAAGGTTCCCCACACCTGCTGTGGGGTGTACAGAATGACACCCCCTTTAATCCTCACAACCTTTTGAGGTGGGTTAGTGAGAGTGAGCAACTGACCCCAAAGTCAGTGTATTAGAACCCGAATATTCCCAAATCCAAGTCAAGTACTTGAACCACTGCATCATACTTGCTCTGAACTTCAAATTAGTGCTTAATTCCTTTCAGTAAAATATTACATCTGCCCACTAGATGGTACCTGGAGCTAAGAGTAGATTGCCGGTCACTTGTTTTTCTTTGTTTAGGCTTGCCTGCAACTAGTGTTTTACTTATTTAACAAAATTTATATGCTGCTTGATTGAAAGTAGAACCTATAAGTGGTTCACACACAAAAAACAACATTAAAATTGTTAATAAGTGTTAAAAAAGGTTTTTTTAATAATTAAAATTGACAGTTAAGCTGAAAGCAGATTAAAGCACATGTCAACTATTACATGTCTGGATACATTTGCCTAAACAAAAATACTTTTAGCAGGCACTATAAATAACAATACAGGGGTTCCCAAACTGGTCTACAGACAACCAGTAGTCTATGAGTTTCATTCAAGTGGTCTAGTGAGCAGTAGCTGAAAATGGTGGGTGCAGCGCACTAAACATACTGATTTCTAATTATATTTTTATTGCTTCCCTTATATTGTATTTTATATTTTATTAGTTGTTCTATGAAATTCTAATTGTAATACAATAAGAAACAATGTAATAAATAAAAAGCAATAGAAATCACACAGCATCTAGCACAGCTCAATACAGTTGCTACAATAGGTAGAAAAATCATTAAGTGGCTTGCCAAGATTCTTTGATATTTTCACATGGTCCACCTGGAGGAAAAGTCTGGAAACTACCGGAGGCACAGCAAAGGCACCTGCCTGATGTCAAAGGATACAGCAAAATCAATTTGATAAAGACCAGGCCCACATCCAGTTGCTAATGGTAGTCTGTTTGGCAAAGTTTGCCAGGCTTCTTTGCAGTCTGATTTTCTAGGAAGGGTGGGAAAGGAAAATGGACGGAACTAGGGTGAGTTTTAAATTAAGATAATGAAGTGTATGGGTGCCTCGCTGATGTAACAATAAGCTGTAGATGAGCACTGACTGAAGAGTGTCTGTTTCTTGGATAAGCCACTAAAAGAACACAATAATACTATAGGGGAAGAGATCTCTGGCTCTGAGACGAGTGGCTCTGAAGATGATGATGAAGACGATGATGGGGAGATTGGAGAAGATGGAGAAAAGAGGAAGAAGCGAAGAGGTAAGGTGCTGGAAAAAAATAGCCGCAGTTCGCCTTTTAATTATCTGTATTTTGCTGTAATTATGCTGTAATTATCATGGCTCTTTTAGAAGTGTTGGAATTGCTTACTTAAAAGATAAATGCTGTTTCTGCTTGCACAACACACTTGTGCTAGCTTTCTTGAATAACATGGCTCTTAGGTGACAGCATGTTCATAGTTCAGGAATTCACAGGTATTTGAGTTCTCGGTTGATGTTTTTCTCAGCGATTGTAACAGGGAGGATACATGGGTAGTCAGATAATCTGGGTTGTATGAAATGCTATAAACTGGGTTTTGCATGTCAAGGTGGTCACTGTCTTGTCTCAATACTTTGGTGTACAGGCTTTTTTATTTTAGGATATACACTTGACTCTTGAAAATACTACTGGAAAGCAAGCTCCACTGAACCAACATGTTAGTGCCTGGAGTTTTGATTGTGTAGCTGGAGAGATGTAGCTGTGAACATATTTGATGTTCAGCCACGGTTGCCAAGGAGTTTGCTGTATGGGCCTCTCTGTGTTTATGGCATGCTCATTCCTAAGAAAAAACCTTGCCACATCTGCAAATCTGTTGCATCCTCTTATCTTCCTTTTGGGAATGTGGGAGCAGTGGTGATGGGTCTTTTAATCATTTCTTTCTAAAGACAGTTGCCTTATACTGAGAGACCCATTGGGCCATCTAGCTCAGCATTGTGTGCACTGACTTGCAGCAGCTCTCCAGGGTGTGACTGAGGTCTATCCCAGGTCTCCTTGAACATGCTAGGAATTGAACCAGGGACCACTGGCATGCAAAGAAGATGCTCTGCCAGATTCTGTTTTCTCTGTAAATAGAAATCCATATATTTTATCCATAACAACATAATCCAAACAACATAATCATAAACCTGAAATAATTTCATCCATTTAAACCACATGCAAAGTCATGATTTTAACACTGAGCCCCCTCAGCACATTTTTAAATTAGTGCGAAAAGAAAATTGAAGTTCAATTCCAAGTTATCAGCATAACTTGATGCATTCTGTAAACTAATTTCAGGCTTACATGCAAACAGATTGTGCTAAAGTGATGCTCCCATCTATACTTTTTACCTTTGGCCAAAGAAGTAAATAATTAAATTGATTTAAACAAGAATCAACTGAATACTTTGAAGTTTTTGCAAACTTTTTCTTCTTCTTCTTCTTAAATAAGCCTCTTGTAGCACCAAGGATATTGACCAGATCCTCACGCTCATGCGTTTCCTCACTGTGACACCCCATGCTGGGAGGTCTTGCACTTATTTGAACATATTTAAAACATATACAGCTGCATATTGGACCTGCCAGAGAACAGGGCAAGGAGATTCTGTGGCTAACTGAATGCAGAATCTCTTGGTTGGAATGTTGTCGTCTTCATCAGTGTTGGGGAACTTATGGTCCACAGGCCTAGTAGGGCATGACAGTGGTCCTAATTAAGACTTTAAAACTGTTTTCCCCAAGCCGCACCCACCTGCCCAACACTTGACATCAGGTGTGGGACACCTAAAGACATGCTTGGATTTGGGTGCGCTAGGCAGTTTCCCATTAGTAGTTTTCTAGTGCAGCCAATGGGGCTGTGCTCAATGCCCATCAGCTGATGGGTTTCTTCACCTTTGAAGATGATCTCAGTGCCAGCTGGGAAGGCCCTGCCAGCATTGAGCCATGGAGGGTGGGGGAAGTAAAGATCCACTTCCCAGCACCCAATCTATATGCATTAAGGTGATACACGAGCCTGAATTTTCTTTATCTTTACCATGCATGGCAGAGGGAGAGAATGCCTGAACAGGCCTTGTGTTATGTCTGTTTAAATCACGAGTAGCTCAATGGGTCTAAACCCTCCCTGCATTAGAAAAATAAATAGGTGTCTGCTCTGTTGACATTTCTTCACTGTTGAAATTTCTTCTGTTTTCTGCTTAGATTGGTGTATGTTTTTGTGCAACTAGTGTTCGTTTATGGGTCTGAAAAGCTAGTATTGCTAGATGGTCTGTCTGATCTGTGCTCTCATTCTGAAACAGTGGGTATTTAATAAAAATCCTGACAATTTCCTTGATCACAGTGAAGAGGAGCAGGCTTATTTATGGTCATGCTGCCTCCAGATTTGTTCCGGTTTCAGAGCAGTGTGCAGGCTTGTTGCAAGATCTCTGATCCTATTCAGTTCCGAGTGGAAGAGTCACTCTCATTTAGTAATAACAACTGCTGGCTTTATTCTTAGCCAAGCTGGTTTCTTATTGTTGGGCAGCTAAGATGAAACTAAAATGTTTCTGAGGGTGAAGCTACCTGCCTATGGCATCATAACAGTAATTTTGAAGCTAGTTTTTCAAAAACTGCTTCATTGCCCACCCGTCACCCTGCTTCACTCAACTGCCAGAGTTTTGTGGGAACAAAGAGGTTCTAAAGTAAGTGCTGGTGCTGTTTGAACCAAATTCAGCACACAGCTTACCAGTTATCCCTGTTCACGTGAAAACATGCACAGCAATTCATTAGTTTTGTGACAGGGATTGGCATGGGGAAGATGAATGTGAGGCTCAAAATAATGGTCCGAAGAAGGAAATTATTTAACCTGTTGGATGGGATATGGTGCCTATTGCATTCTTTCACATTCTCATGAGATGTAATTCAGAAGTGCAGTCCCCCTCCACATGCTCAATTCTTGACTTGAGGTTAAATGTAAATCTTGGCTCCATCCCTTTGAACCATAGACCACAGGGTGCCACCAGCAGATGTCTTCGTTCCAATGTTAAAGGTCTTTGTCCTTTTCCTTCTTCCAGATTGCTTCCTTGTTCAGTTTCCCATTTATCCATTGCTAGTCACAGTTAATAAGTGATGCAACACTGAAACTCTTTTATTGAAAATACCACATTGACTGCCAGAAGGAGTGAGAGAAGCACACATTCCCTGAGACCAAGGCAACTGTCAATTGCCTCAGTTGATTATTATTATTTATCTAAGCTACTAAGATGACTTGGGTCAATCAGTCATGTGCAACACTGCAACTGTACATAGGAAGATGATGAAAATGGGATTGTGCAACATTAAACCAGTCTCTCTGAGCTTCTTGTCCTTTAGAGCTAATGCTTAGCATGTGTTTCTTTCATCCTGTTTCTTCTTTCTTGGGTTTTCCATGGGGCCTGCTTCTCTGTTTTCCAGGCAGTAGCAGCAGCAGTAGTTCAGACTCTACATGCTCTGTCATAGAGAAACCTCTGGATAAATCCTTCACTAGTGAGTGGGAGCTCTTTGGTCATCCAGTGAAGTTTTGGCCTTTCCATAACCTTTGCACTCTTTGTTTTGATGCTGCATTTTGCTCCCTGTCCACAACATTGGTTTTGTTCAGAGTGAAATGTGGATTCTTCCCCACCCACCTATCCAAGTTAAAGCATGTTTTTTATTCCCCTTTGCTGCTTCAAACTTCTTGTGGAGGGTGGGGCGGGAGAGAGAAGTGTTTGAGATTAATCTTTGGCCAAATAGCCGAGGACCGCAAGAATGCATGTTAGTACTGGTCATATAAGGTGGCAGGAAACGAGTGGATTTTTTGGCATTGGGTGATGTTCTCTAAAATCACAGCTTTATACTGATATACAGTCGTATATATTTCAGTAGGATGTTAACAATCTTTCTCTAGAGATATATATATTGGAAAAGTTGCTAAGCAAGTGTGCATAGTTCTGTAATCTTCCAGAAAACTCTTTATCGCTAAACAAGGAAAAACTTCACACTCCTTTCCTGGGCCAAAAAGCTCTGCTTGCACAGAGGCCACTTCCCATCAGCCTCTACAATATGCGTTGGCATTTCTCCTTCTGCACATCAGAAGGAGTGACTGGGAAATCCCTGCACCTGTGGGACTTACTGTGGTATCTTGGAGCTGCTAAGTTGCAGCATTCAACTGTTGTGGGTAGACATGTCAGTTTTGGTGCTGATGAGGTAGAACAAGGTTCAAGGGGTTTTTATTAGGCACTTTTCATTAACAGTTGGAAACAAATGAGCTGCATCTTCTGCTTCTAACCACTGCTCTTAATCACAACGGGATGTTCTCATTTGAAGAACACTTTCGGTCCGCAAAATAACCTTGAGCTTGAAAGGAGTGTGTGGCATAGATTGGGCTTTCATATTTTAACAAAAACTATTCTTCCCATTCTGTGACTTCTTTCCCCCTTTCCTGTTCTTTGCATGTTGCATGTTTTCATTGCATTTGTTCCTTCTCCCCCAATGCTACTACTTCTCTTTGATGGCACCAGCTAAATTTGCCACTTTACCTCTGTGGAAGCACCTGAGTTTCTAGAAACAAAACTATGCAACTCCCAGCTGAAATTAACACTGAAATCTTATGAACTCTCCTACATGTGTGATTGGTCATGTGAGACGCAACAGCCGATTGGCAATTTGCTCAAACGCCAAGTAAGCTTAACTGGACATTTATGGCAATTGGCTGCGTCAACATGCTCTGGTTTTAATTGAGGGTAGTAGATCACCCTCTTGGATGTTTCTTAGAGCATGATCTTTGTGAGAGGCTTGCAGCTTGAACAGCAGAATTTAGCATAATATTGTTGAGAGAAACAATGTTCTCCTTCAATGTACTGAAGATTAATGATACTCTTCAGTATAATTTGGGGCAGCGATGATCATATTTAATCTTGCATTTTGGAGTTTTAATTTGCTGGTTTTTTCTTTTTGTCTATGGAAGCATATTTTGATGAATGCTTTTACTTAAGATCTTGTTTCTTTTTTTTCTTTTTGTAAAACAAATCAAGCCAATAATGTGTTTCTTTTTTCCCTCCCCACCCACTTCCTTTGTGCGTGTGCTGCCTCTCTGCGATTTGTTTGCCTCCTCCTCTTAAAATGCAAGATCAATCAGGTTGGTGTGTTTGATTTGCACTCCATCTAATACAGTTGAAACTGCTTAATATTTTGTTAAGAATGCCTAGCTTTTTCTCTCAGACCTCCATTCAAGATGCCCCCCAAATATCTTAGACAGTGTTAATGGATCCAATGCAGTTCTACACTGAACTGTCACCACTTGAGCAAAGCTTTTCTGTGTGTGACATTATCCAAATGTAGCTGTGGGAAAGAGCAAGGGTAGTCTAAGGGATTTCCCCTTACAGCAGCAATAAAACTGTTGCTCCTTTCAAGATATAATCACTCTAGATGTATCCAGATAGCCTAAGATGTGGGGGCAAGAGAGGGGAGAGCAAAATGGGGCAAACAAAATAATGATTCTTCCCCCCCCCCCTTCTTTTTCTTCCCTTGAATCGCAGTGCAATGAGTTTTCTTTTGGTTTTGCAAACCTGCTTTTAGCTTTTGTACCCCTTCTGTCATGTTAATTTTGTTCCTTCATACATATATCTTTTATTTTTCTGTTAATCTGACTATATACATTCTAATTATTAGTTTTAAAGTCCTGGCCTCTTTAGGTACATGTGGCTCTTGTGTGTCTTTTAAAGTAACTTCCAAATTGATTGAGTTACAGAAAACATCCTGCAGTTAATTTGATATACAACTGTCCTTTTCTAAATCAGCAATCTATTCCCTATGTTACAATTCTTCATTCCAGTCACTGATTCTCAGCAGCTGATTGTTATGATAATTTTTTGGGTTTTTTAAAATCACTCACGCCTCTAAATAAATTAGAATTCTGCTATATGGCTGGAGGACATTTTTGAGGGAAAATGCTCCAGGGGTGACTATATTAGCAAATATTTTGATAAAACTTTCAGCTCCTAGTAAATAATTAAAAAACAATCACTAAGATGGAGCAGGGCTATCACCAGAGTGTTTTTCTTTCTCTTACAGTTGTGCATTCCTGTAGCTTCTGAGTTAATAGTAGCAGCTGTAGGCTCTTTAATTCTTGTTCTAACAACTAATCTAATTTTTTAAATGATAATTCACATATTGGGACTATGTATGTATGTACGTATGTATGTTTGTGCTTGATTTATTTAAACCTGCACTTGGATCTCCTGAAAGGAAAGAAGAAAGTTTCTCCTGACAAGATGATAGAGATGCAAGCGAAGATTGATGAAGAAAGGAAGGCTCTTGAAACAAAGCTTGATATGGAAGAGGAAGAAAGAAACAAGGCCCGGGCAGAGCTGGAGAAGCGGGAGAAAGACCTGCTTAAAGCACAGTGAGCAATGCTGAAATTGGAATAGAATCATGTTTGCCGTTTGTGTAGAATTACATGGTTGTAATCCTGTGAAGCAAATCGGTATGATAGTCGGGCTCAGGCTGAGAGAAAGCGGCCTGCCTAAGGCTCCATCGTGATTTTATGGCAGGAGTGACATTCATATCCAGGACTTCCTGCTTCATAGCTCAGTCTCTTAGGTGGCACAGCTCACTGGTGATAAGGGCATGTTGAGATTTGGTTTGAGATGTGGTTGGGGGCATTTCAAGGGCATTTGGGATCTTGGCAAGGTCCCCAAAGTGGGAGGATTTGAACTGTACGTACACACACACACACACACACACACACACTGCTTGCCTGGCAAGGTATAGAAGTTAACTTATGAAAGATCTTGCTCACATTGGCAATAGACCAGGCATGGCCAAACTCGGCCCTCCAGATGTTTTGGGACTACAACTCCCATCATCCCTAGCTAACGGGACCAGTGGTGAGGGATGATGGGATGATGGTGAGGGCCGAGTTTGGCCATACCTGCAATAGACCCTGCCTTGCAACAACTCATTGACACTTTGGGTATGCATACTTTATCATGCACTCTAAAAACGCCCCTTCTTTGGGAGACTTGCACACTCCAAAGACCCCAAATGTAACTGGAATGCTCATGCATACACCCCACACATACAGTTGCATTTTTCATATTCCTCTTTTGTGGTTGTTCACAGGCTAAAGAAAGCTTTCTCTCTTCCTCTCCATCCCACCCTCTACAGACTTTCAGGCCTTGCATTCCAAACATGCATTCCTTGCCTACATGCAGTTCTCCAATATGTACAACTTCCCCCGCACCACAGATATACTGCGGGGCTGTTCAGATGTTAGTCTGTACCAAGGAGAGTTGACAGGGTTTAATAAAGCCTCTGTTGTCTAATAATGCTCTCCCCTGCCCCCCCCCCCCGTTTGTACAGTTCTACAGAAGATGCTAAATAAATAAAGAGAACTGGGAGTGGGGACAAGATCTAGAACCTTCTCTCTTGCCCTCTTTGCAAACATCTTGAGAGCACAGCAGGACAGCAAACTAACAGAGATTTTTGAGAGAACAGGGTGAGACTGTCTCCTTCTAGCAGCCCCTAGTGGATTGAAAAGTAGGCCCTGTTCAGCCCAGCTAAATTTAAGCAAGCACTAGGAAACAGGCTTAAGTCTTCCTACAGTGGTTGCTTGTTTTCTTACATTTATTTATTAGATTTAAAGGAAACTGACTGGGATTTCAGGCATGCAGTGTGTGGGCCCCTCAGCTGAAGTTGGAGATCTGTATGTAGCTTTAGAATCATTACGATTCCCCCTCCCTTCCTGTTTTTATCCAGGCAAGAACATCAGTCTCTGCTGGAGAAGTTGTCAGCCTTGGAAAAGAAAGTGATCGTGGGAGGTGTGGACTTACTGGCAAAGGCAGAGGAGCAGGAGAAGCTTCTAGAAGAATCCAACATGGAGCTGGAAGAGCGTAGGAAAAGAGCAGAGCAGCTCCGGAGGGAGCTTGAAGAGAAAGAGGTTGGATCAAGCTCTTTGCTGCCCTGTTCAATTGCTGTATTTTGAAAAGGCATTCACAGTACTTTTCTTTACCTGCATGTTGCGCATGTGCAGGCAAGACAAAGGCACATTTGAAATGAGAGGCAGTAGATGGTATCTACGTTTGTAGAACATGGTGATCCCTGAAAGATTAGATATCTTCCGCTTTAGTGTGCTATCACACTTGCTCAAGATATGTGTTTCTGTTTGGTGTCTGAAAGATTCCTGTCCATGTTGAGGGAATAAGCTTGTCCAGATTGCAAACGATTAGAGAGAATTCGGCTCTAGTGCCAGGGGAAGCTTTTCCGTCTACAAGCCCTGGCTGTAGAACTGGGCCCAGAAACTAAAATGTGCAGGAGCTCAGCATGCATCACTGCAAGAACTTCAGTAGAGGTAGCAGAGGCACTTGAGTGGGAGCCACAGAAATGGCGTCAAAGCTTTACAAAGGGGGGGGGAAAGAATAGTGGGTTAACTTCCATAAAGGCCGTCCCAGTGAAGGGAAGGATAGAGAGGAATGGGGAGTAAGAGAACAGCAAGCTGAAAGAAGGCTGCGCAGTGATGCTTCAGACTTTGCAGGGCTTGAGGAGGTAGAAGCTGGAAAGCTGGCAATAAAGAAAGAGTGACACCTTTTTCTCTCCTTGGCTGCTTAAGCATCCTATGGTCTTTTAAATGGGTTTGTGGAAGGTGGCTGTTTGTTTTTGTTATGCATTTTGTGTTCTCATTTTGTACTTTTATGCTGTAAACAGCTCTATGATGAAGAGCAGTATACAAATTTAATAAATAATAATAACAACTTGCCTGTAGAGACTTTTGAACCAAAGTGATGGTGTGGGGACAAAATGGAGGTGAGATGGGGCTGTGAGGCAGCCGTTTACATAGGATTCCTACATACAGGACTGAATAGCACCCTCCCACCAGCACATCAGTTTGGACAATTCTCTCTAACTTGTGGCATTTTTAATAATTTGCAAACAGCAAGAGCGTTTGGACATTGAGGAAAAGTACACCAGCCTTCAGGAGGAAGCACAAGGGAAGACCAAGAAGCTGAAAAAAGTCTGGACAATGCTAATGGCAGCCAAGTCAGAGGTCAGTGTCATAAAGTCTTCACGCTTGTTCCCATGTAAAAGGAATGGAGCAACCCTGTTTCTGAGCCATGTTGAAGGCAGATAGGAACATGCAAATGGCCCTTGACCCTTGAACAAAGAAAAGGTGGTGCTGTTCACATGTTGGGAGTAAGAAAGAACCACAGAAGGAAATAGCATGGAGTGTGTGAGAGTCATATGGCTGTTTTGGAGTATTTGGTTATTTACGTAAGTGAACACATATACTGTTAGTATATGCTAACAATGCACACATATACAGGGTCATCAATGTGCAGCGTGCCTTACATGATAACATAAGGATTTTTAAAAAATCTTGGAAGGAGCTCACTTAATTTTCCTTGCCAGGTGAGAGAAGGTTGGTGGCAACTGGGGAGAGGGCCTTCTCAGTGGTTATGTCTTATCTGTGAAATGCTTTTCCCTGACTGGTACAAGAGTTACCACCCATCTTTTTGTTTTAGAAGTCAAGTAAAACTTTTTTCTTCTCTCAGATTTTTGATGGCTTCATTGACTTATTTAATGTTTTGTTAGCTTTTAATTGTTTTTATAAGTCTTATGCTATTACATTGATTTTATTTCAGTTTATTCTTCTTCTGCTTAAGTTTTATTATCCTCTGAGTGCCCCTTTAGTGAAAGTGCGCAGCACAACAAAATGCTCTGCCATTTGTAAGCCTCAATAATCAATAGCTCATAAAAATGGCACCTAACTTGAAACTTGGCATACATGATCTGCCTGATGAGGTCTATGAATGAGCTGAATTTCAAATTGATTCAGTAAAAATTTCCACAGAAAAGCCAGCTTAAGCAAGCTGAAGATGAACCCTTTTTACAGCCGTGTTTATTATACCAGGATATCATATGTTGTTGTTTTTTTACAATTTTGATTAAAACTACTGGTGGACTTTATTCAGACTTGTCAAAGAAGATGCACTTTCATTGGTTTGGTGAAGTTCTGAGAAGCAGTTCAAAAGTAATCTTTTTTTTTTAAGCCGGTGGCAGTAACTAAATTTTGAAGTGAAAATTTACCAGGGCTTCAGTGTTTGCTAAGGGAGCCACCTGGTGGATAATGTAAGCAATGCCTGTTTCTCTAGCTATGGGATATACAGCGGTACCTCTGGTTGCGGACAGGATCCGTTCTGGAGCTCCAGTCAGATCCCGAGGTTTCCACAACTGGAGGCACTGCTTCTGCGCATGCGTGTGTGGCGAAACATTTCCAGATTTGTCCCTTTCGCAACCCGAAGTTTACATTACCCGAGGGTAACGTGAGCCAAGGTGCTACTGTAACAGAAAGGTGCAATGGTTAGGTAAGGAATTGTCAATCTTTTTAGGCTTCTAGACACATTTTGAAAATGATAAACTGTTGTGGGGGGTCACAACACACAACTATGTGTGTACGTTCCCCCCATGCCCCACTCAACACTGCAGCACCCTCCTACACACACTGACACAAATGTGCATACACCTCTAAGGATGGCGAATGGTGCTAGAAGAGGGTCCCTCTGCATAGTTCCTTCTCAAAATTTCTCTAGCAATACAGTAAGCTTGGATGCTTTATAAGATCATATGAGACCCAGACAACATGGGACATCTTCGTTGGTCCCTTCATCCTCCCAATCTGGCATTGGGCCTGAAAGACCAAGGAAGTGAGCACTATTTCTGTTGATTTTGAAGAACAACCGTTTGCAGAGCGCATCTGTTAAGACATCAGCATAAGCTTCCACGCTTGGGTCAATATGAAAGAGCCTTAATGCTGATGCTAAACTGGCATGCTTTTTGTTGATCAAGTCATGCCTGTTGGCTTCATCATTGTTTTCCTTATTCTTCTGTGAGCTAATTTGAATGTCCTTTTAATTGAAAGTGGCCAAAAAATAAATAAAAAGTAGGTTTCCTTAACTTCCTTAACCGGTAATTTTCATTTGCTGGAATTACTTTCCACCAAATGGTTAGAATGGGGAGAAAGAATAATGGAGAAGATGAAAACAAATTAATGCTGGGTTGGGGCCTGTTCGTTTTTAAAACCACCAGATGGAAGTGGCTTTGACAGGTACAAGTTCATTCTCTTGGAATGAACTGAGCATGAAAACACTCTTTAAGTATGATGCCAGGTTTGGCATGGGATGATCACAATTATCTTTACACCACGAGCTTTATGTGTCTGGTTGAATAGTCCATTTCTTAGTGGATGATCCTGGTTGTCGCTTCCTGATGGCTTGCTTTATAATTGGTATTCATAGATGGCAGATTTGCAACAAGAGCATCAGAGAGAAATTGAAGGCTTATTGGAGAACATTCGACAGCTCAGCAGGGAGCTTCGTCTTCAAATGCTTATCATTGACAACTTTATACCTCAGGATTATCAGGTACGATAATTGAAGGAGCCCTGTATTTGTTTTGAGAGATTCAGCAATAATGACCCCGGAAGTGGCCTTTTCCACTCTTGGGACCAGTTGTTACGTTAAGAGAAGCTGTATACTTGCACCTCCCTTAGCATAGTTTCCCAAGCTGCCCTTGTTGTGTCTGAATCTCAGACAGGCCCAGCTTACCCTTAGGTGCTAGGGGTGTGGAGCACCCAGGCGCCAGGCTCTCAGAGGCGTCAGGCCGAGAGTCCAGGGCCAAGATTTGGAGTCCGGGGATTGAAGAGCCAGACCAGTCAACAGCCACTGCCGAGCGGAGCAGAACCCTTCAGAGCACCGCAGGCTTTTATGCTGCGGACGCTGAGGCAGCTGGCCAGCTACGCCCTCCTGTGTGTCTGGGATTGGCAGGCTGTCGAGAGGCCCGCCCAGTGTGTGTACGCACGCTGCTCACATGAGGCGCACAGCTTCTCTCCCAAGCCTCTGTGGGGATTGCTCTCCTCCCTTCACCCACTGTGACATGGGAGAGAGTGAGAGAGTTGCATGCCCCCCCAAAAAAGCTCAACAACTTGGGGGCGCTGGGCAGTTTTTTGCACCCCGGCGCCGCTAAAGATGGCCCTGATCTCAGAGGTCATGCACCTGTGTTACTTTCCCCCCTTCTCTTCTGATTTTTCTTTCAAGGAAATGATTGAAAACTACGTTCACTGGAATGAAGATATTGGAGAATGGCAGCTGGTACGTAAGCACAGCTGCAATGCATGGGGACAGTGATGTGAAACCCAGTGGCGGTCAACAGGGTGGTGGCAGCACATACCTAGTCACCTGTCACTGCATCTGTTGGTGTGGCTTACTGGGATGTGGAAGGACAGCAAGCTCCGTACAGTGTTAAACTATAGGCACAGCTACTCAGGGCTTCCATCAGTGCATATGCACTGCACCAACTTCATCCCTCTCCAGTAAGCCACAGCAGCGCTGGTGATGGGAGGTCAGGTAAGCTCCATTGCCCTACCAGCTGCTACTGGGGCAACAGTAGGACAACCTGAAGGACCTTGATCTTTTATGTTATACCCCCTTTATTATCAGGACTTCCCATATTGTGTTGCTAGACACAAAAGCAGTAACCTACCTGAGTCGGTTTTTCATTATCCAGTTTAGAATACGTGGTCCACTCTTTCCATTAGATGGAATATCTGTGTCTTGCATCCGCTTGTGGAATGCTTTCGCCAGGGAAGCTCACTTGGCGCCTTCGTTACATATCTTTAGGCATCAGGCAAAAACACTTCTCTTCTCCCAGGCCTTTCCAATCTATGGCCTATTTAAACAAATCTATCTGTGTGGGGTGGGTGTTTTTATACTGTAAACAGCCCTGTGATCCTCAGATGAAGGCTGGTATAAAAATGTAATTGATAAAATAAAATGAATAAGCACCTGAGCCCTGTCAACACTGACTTCACTGATTTTGGCGCATGGCCAGGATTGCACCCTTAAAATACTTCTGGGCATATTGAGGACAAAACCTGCCTCTTTTCAAATTGCCGAGATTGCCCTCCTTGCGACAAAGGAAGCAAAAGACCTCCCAGCAGTGTGGTTACTTGGTGCAATATCTAATTTCCTGCCTTATCTTTTTTCTTTTAAGAAATGTGTGGCATATACCGGAAATAATATGAGAAAACAGACTCCCGTGCCAGATAAAAAGGAAAAGGATGTAAGTGATCCTTTGCAAATGTAGGCTGCTGCAGTCCACACTTTTCCAGCTTTCTACACTTGCATTTTTTGTATAATTTCCTTCAACTTTGATGCTATATTTTGGTATGACCCACAAATGTCCACTCACAGTGTCTGTTTTACCCCTCCTCAGCCCTTTGAGGTGGACCTTTCCCATGTATATCTAGCTTATACAGAAGAAAGCCTGAGACAGTCTTTGTTGAAACTAGAGAGACCAAGGACTTCCAAAGGCCGATCAAGACCCAAAACTGGCAGAAGGTAAGGACTGCTATAGGATACTGCGTTTTGCACCATCTTGAAACTTTGTCATCACCCCCATTCTGCTCAATGCCAAATAAAAACTCAATGAATGCCCATGTTGCATGTCTGAAGCTGTCCTAAAATTGTAAAATTGGGGGTGTCCTTGCTGTGTGCATACCAGGGCCAAAGGATTCCGTTTGTGTATGTTGTCAACATTCACTCTGCTTGGGGAACCAGTGAAAGATTATACAAGTGAAATAAATAAAAGTAGCTCTCAAATGGAATGTGGTTGCAATTAGGAGAATTGAAGCCACTGGCCACCCACAAGTTTACATGTGGGCAAGAATCTTTTCCCTTCCAAGAGGATATATTTTTAGCCCAGGGCAGTACTGAACTTAAAGCTGTATTTAGGGACATTGCTTCCCTAAAAGTATATTAGATTAATCTACGGCAAATTATACTCCCTGCCCCCCCGCCTCCAAACTCTTTCCTCTCCTTGCCCTTGAATCCATGGTTGCTATTGATTACGACAAAATTTAGACATGTTTAACATGTTTTAAGCATTTTTAAAAACATGTCAGTGTAAGCACCTTTTAAATGTTTCGTTGTGACCATGTGCATACCTTTAAAGAGGGTATCTTAGCCTCCTCCTGAGATCAGCCTGGTTTCTAGATTTTGTTGTCTGTTATGTGCACTTTTATTTGACAGCATTAATTTCTCTCTTCATATAACTTTCTTTCTCCTCTCCAAACAGAAAACGTTCTGCCAAATCAGGCGCTGTGATCGAGTCGTTGCTCCAGTAGACTCTGACAGTGGTGGGACTACAATAAAGATTAGTATGTGGCTTAATACTTGGCCCAAATATGCAGATTCTCGTTTCTGGAGATCGCAGAAGAGTTTTGATGTTTGGTTGACACAGAAGTAGCTATAAAGGGCTACACTTGTGTCTTGGAGACAACAAGAAATACATTTGTTTCCCTTGATTTGCTTTCATGTCATCTGTTACATGTATATTATGTTCAATCTAAACTAGATTGTGACTGTAAATTTGTCAATGTTACTAATCCTGCTTCGGGCATTATGCAGGTGAAGCTGTTGAGGATATATGGTGTGTTTAAAATGAGCTGAATTGACTGGAAAAGGTTTTGTGTGTGACTGAATTTTAACCAGAATAGCCCTGTTGTGAGTAGATAACCAGGATTCCACATCCTGATAGACCTGTTTTGCTTCCATTTGCCTCTTGTGTTGTTCTGCCTTTGCGCCACTGCAGACTTATTCTGGTAGCTGCAAGTTCTTGGGATGCTCTGAATCCCCTTCTGTCTTAAGAATCCCCTATCACATATGTGCAAATAACTTATTAATTCCTTCAGCATGTACTTCATGTGCATAGACTTTTCTCCATATTGCTATACAAAGATGGACTGTTGTAGACCTTAGGTGGTGATGGGACATGTTTTGGTTTACAGGGTAAAGACTGAGAAATCCTTTAGACTGAAGCTGCAGCATGCATTCTACATCAAGTGCCCACCGCTTGATTATTTCCCCCAGCACTTGCCTCAGTTACTAACACTACTCGTTCTCCCTACCTGACGCCATTTCTAGTCTGAGTGGACATTGTCATCTCTCACTCTTTTTACTGTTGAATCTTTCATCCTCCTTAAATTAGGTTGTGATGACTTTCAGTGAGAACAGTTGCCGTTGGATAGCTGTGGCAGACTGAACTGAAAAACGAAATCCTGTGACATTATTATAGAAGGGGCTCTCATAAATAGTCTTAAATATAGTATCGTGAACAAAACATGCTAGGTTTTTCTTGCATTCGTGAACCTAAATCATCTGGCCACACTGGTTTTTGGATAAAGCAACTGAGTCTGGGAACGTTTTAGAAAGCTACCTTGGGCTTCATCCCTTCAGTGTTTCAGTGGAGGAACAATAAATGTTGTGAAGGATGTCATGAACTGCTCCATTGCCAATTACCAAGTGACGATTTACAGGGTGCTTACGCAATGGAGTTACGCTAGAGTCAGCAGCTTGGTGCATTCTTACCCTCTCTTTAGTTGTACAGTGGTACCGCGTTTTGAGTCTGCCCCGTTTAGGGTCCATTTCGTCCAATGTCCACGGCAAACCTGGAAGTACCAGAACAGGTTACTTCCGGGTTTGCCAATCGCGCTTCGCCTATGCACAAAGCGGCGCTTTGTCAAGCGTCCGGGGCTCTGGAACGCAAAAGGAGGTACGACTGTACCTGTTTTGAGTTTAAAAGAAATAAAAGTTTTTCCTTGTTCATCATTCCAGATATTTAGTTGGCACCCGGTTATTTTTCCAATCTGTTATTTATGAAGTGGTGCCACTACCATACACATAATATTGTTAATATTGTTTCTTTTGTAACTAAGTATATTGTGTGACAACTGCTGGAGATATCTGTTACTGTATGTATTTTGTAAGTCTTTAAATTAAACATGACACTAACTGTGCAACTTGTGTTCTAAAAACTGTGTTGGTTGTTGTGAAATACTCCAGTGCTCAAAATAATAATAATTTGTCATAACAGGATTTGCAATTGGACACTCTTGAGCCTTACTGATTGTGCTAAATTGCTATAGGCTGTACCGCTCGCGCTCGCGCGCGCTCTCTCTCACTCACTCACACACACACACACACACACACACAAAAAAACTACTGACAATTTCAGCTAAATGTCGGCTGTAGGAAAAATTTAGTATGAATATGGAACGCAAACTTGGAAATGGGGAAAGACGAGTTTTTTGTTCATAGTTTGGTTCAACCCACTTATATAGGCATAAGGATTGGAGCTGATTTGATTCTTTTCATACATAATGCATTCCTAACTCTCTGCTGGATTAGGAATATATCAGTGGTTTCATTTCTAATCCATACATTGTTGTAATGGTCGTTGCCAAAGGAAGGAATCTCCACCCAAATGCTTACCTGTCTGATAGCCCACAGGTGAGTGACTCCACAATTGTGGTGTTATCAGAAGACACAAATTGGGCATGCAAATTGTGTCTGAAATACAGTGTGATTGCATCATCTAATGAAGAAATGTGATAGTTACAATCGACCAATTGGAACATCAATGCATACATTGACCTTTGATTACTACTGAAACATTTGTCTTTCTCTTGACTAGCTTTAGTTTTGGAGATTTAAAATTCCTGCTTGTCAAGAGGTAGGCAAATTTCAAATGTTGTCCCTCAAAAGTAAGTTTTAGGAGGATCCTGGCAGACTTGACTCTTCAGTTTTTAAAATAACATTTTGTCGTAGTTGTGGGCACTGTTTTTATATAGCTTGGGCCAGTTCTTTAGTCTTAAAATGCTAACAAATCTAAAATAGCACACAGGTTTTGTTTTCTTTTCTCAAAAGTGGCATTCCAGGTTAGACACAGCCTTAGGACCATTTTGAACGAAGGAGCAAGAGACTCTTAACAGCAGCTTCAGTGAAAGTTCACAGCACCACAGTACAGTGCTTCATAGTCCTTTGTTGACTCACGCAATGCAAGTCCAACCTTGCTTGTGCACACACAGATGCCTCTCCAGCAGAGCAATCGTCTTAATTTAGGAAAATTGGCCCAAAGCCTTTAATTTTTTCCTTAGTTTCAGTGTCAGCATCTGAAATGGTGTCTGCATGGGTTTTGTGGAGTCGTTTTCTTTAATAACCGGTTCCTGGACTACAAGAATAGAAGGAGATGTCTCGCTCCATGCCTTTGGAATTAGTTACCCTGTGTTCTTTACCATTCTAGCAACTGCTTATTAGTCCATGCCATCAAGTCTGTATATAAGGGCGTAAATACCAGAAGTAAAATTGGTCCCTATTTATTGTTTTGCTAACTTTTTTGAGAGTTAAAATTTCTGGTTGCATTGTGTACAAAGTGTGTTCCTTATGTTGTATATAGTGACACAATGTCTTGACATTGAGCATGTTGATGCCTAGAAATAAAAGAATTGGATTCCCAACATATTTGTGCAGTCTCTCTCTCTGCCAATTCACACATCACAGTGAGCCATAGCTAATATCTTACAATGAATGAGCAGAATGCTATCATTTCACTCCTCCCCTAGCAAGAGTGGAAGCAACAAGTTTTGGCTTAGCATTATATCCAGATTGGGTATTGTGGTCTGGAAGTCAAAAACAAACCTTTGATTCAGAGAATGATGATGATGATGATGATGATGATGATGGTGATGTATTATTTATATGCCACCCATCTGATTGGGTTGTGATTTTGTTGAGGTTTTAAATTCATCAGTTTTGTGGAGAAATGCTTCAGTAGAGAAGCACATATAGGATAGTAGGCTCTCAAAGGCACGGAGAAAGGTTATATACATGTTGTCCGAATCCCTGATTATTATCTTCCAAAGCAACTATTCTATTCTCAACTTAAGAATGGAAATCAAAATACTGGTGGACAACAAAAGAGGTTTAAAGATGCCTCAAGGCAAATCTTTACAAATATAGTATGAGCACTGACAACTGGGAAACACTGGCCTGCAAGCGCTCCAATTGGAGAACAGCATTTACCTAAGATGTCCTGGACTTTGAAAAAACATGAATCCACAGTCACAGACTCACTGTTAAGACCGTTTTCATGGAAGACAATCTATGAGTGATCGCCAGAGATAAGAGAGATATACCATATACATGGGGAAAAGTTACAAAAAGCAGGGGAACTACCCCTTAGTGAAAGACAGCTTCTTAAGGATTGTGCTTTGCTGGGAAGGAACAAGGTGGTAGTGATCAACACATTCACAGTAACCCATTAATCACACACCTACATCAGCACAACCGGATGCCTTCATCTGTCCCAGCTGCAACAATGTGTGTCTCTCCTATATCAGTTTCTACAGCCACAGCAGGCGCTGTGACTCCAATGATTTGACGTTACCCCCAAAGTCACACTTTTCCAGATGGATGTGATCTTCCCGGGACCTGCTGAGAAAGGGCAGGTAATGAATTAATTATTATTATTATTAAACCAAATTACTCTATTTCTATCTTTTCTCCTTTATTCTTATATATTGGATCACCTGACTTAATGGTATGTATTTGTGTGCCTGTTTTATAGTAAGCCACTTTGAGGGTTTGGACAGACATAAATGATGATTTAGAAAATTTAAACACAAACATTTAATCAGTACGGATTTCTCTCATGCTAATATTGCTTTTTCATCTCTACAGTAAAAAGCAAAAACTGGAGTAAGTGTGTGCATGAACCGTATGAGGCTTAGTATTTCTGTGTCCGTCATAGAAATGAAAATGGCCAAACGTGGGGAAGCAGAGATGCAGACTATGATTTGGGACACAAATAGGGGTAAAGGTGTCTGTCATTTTATTTCTTGTTTGATGTTGGTGTTATCAAGAAAAAGGGTTAAGGGGTAGAAGTGCCACTTCAGAAAGGGGGAGAGATAACAGATTTTTATCACCATGACGGTACCAAAACTGCTAACACGAAGCAGAGGAAATGGTTATGATTATGTGAGTGGAGCAAATTCATAGGAACCATTGGAGAGGCATTCTCAGAATTTGCACCAAACTGCAGTGGGGGTGTAGCAGCCCTGTCAAAGGAAGAATTGAAGAATCATCTGCTAGTTTACAGGGGCTGGAAAATCAAAGAAAAGATGAATTCATTCCAAAATGGTATTTCATTATTCAGCAACATAGTATAACTCCACAACCACTGTGGTGAAAGGACGGAAGAGGCATAAAGGAGAAGAGAACAGTGCCAGAACACAAATGAGTAAAAATAATAATAATAATTTGGGGGGGGGAGCCTCAAAACAATGCTGAGGTGTGAAGTACTATGTGCTCCCCATTTCTCTGAACAATGACTTAGGCCTCATCCACACTGTCATTTAATTAGGATAGGGAGCTAATAATAATAATAATAATAAATTTATTATTTATACCCCGCCCATCTGGCTGGGTTTCCCCAGCCACTCTGGGTGACTCCCAACATAATATTAAAAAGAGGATAAAACATTAAAAGCTTCCTGTACCTCCATTAATTCACCACTGTCCATATGACGTTCTCCTTCAATCACCGCCTTCCCATACTCTGCCTTCCCTCAATGTAGATTTTCTCAATCAGGATACTCTGTAAAGGGGAAATTAGGAGAAAATTGGGATTGAGCAAGGGGAAAGTGTAGGAAGGCAGAGATTTGGAGAACATCATATGGACAATGGAGAATTACGGTAATGGAGGTACAGGAAGCTTTGTAACCACATCAAACAACAGCAGGAATGAACCATCAAACTATTCCTCTGAAATGTGGTTTATTTACAACAGTACAAGTAGATCATAAGTAAAGGTAAAGGACCCCTGGATGGTTAAGTCCAGTCAAAGGCGACTATGGGGTTGTGGCGCTCATCTCACTTAAGGCCGAGGGAGCTGGCATTTGTTCAAAGACAGCTTTCCAGGTCATGTGGCCAGCATGACTAAACCACTTCTGGCGCAATGGAACAACATGACAGAAACCAGAGCACACGGAAACACTGTTTACCTTCCTGCCGCAGCAGTACCTATTTATCTACTTGCACCGGTGTGCTTTCAAACTGCTAGGTTGGCAGGAGCAGGGACAGAGCAACAGGGGCTCACCACCGTCGTGTGGATTCAAACCACTGATCTTCTGATCACTGACCTTAACACTCAGCGTTACCAGAGGATAGGTACATTGGAGAATTCTGATGAAAACGGGACCAGAAATTGCTAATGTTCACACATTCATCCAACATCCAGAATGAAATGGAAATCCAGCAAATACAGTTTGTATGATTATGTACCATTCCCCCTCCATTTGCATTGCATTTCCTTGGCAATGAAATGAATGGGGTGCAATAATGTAATTCAATTTTAATTTATGTGATATACGTAGGTTATATAGTTTTACCACAGCAGATGGCAGAAGAAATAATGTAGGTTTTGGTGGGAGTCAAACTGCAGCATAATGGAAACTGTTGCATGAATACAGGGCAGAATGGAAAACGTCATTACATCCCAGGGGTGATGGAAATCTTTCATCCCAGGGGTGATCATGAAATCACTCTCTAAGAGTTAAAGAGATGCATCTACCATCTATCCTGGACCATTCACAGTAATTTCCCTTTTCAAAAGAAAAAAGAGGGGAAGAGATGTTAGGTCTTGCTTGGCCAATGGAAGCCACATTCCATCCTCAACACATTTCATTTTACACCTTCTGCAGGTATAAACAAATGTAACTTCTTGGAGTGCTTCATTCTTGAGACATGCCAGTTGAAGTAGTCCAACACCGGATCAGACCATACATTCACAAACAGTTTTTAGAAGCCAGCCAGGGCACCAGTGAGATTAACTGAATAATGCCTTTTGTGGACAATGTCGTATGCCCGGTCTCCAATCAGAGGGAAGATTGTAAGCATGTTCAGCTGCATGTGATTGCAGTCCTCCTTCAGGTCCCCCTATTCACTGTGGAGATGGTGGGAGCCAGGCTTGTGTGACTCTGTTGCCTTCTTCATGGGCAGTGGTTGTGTTTGCAGCTAGCATCTGAAGAGGCCTATAGAAGTTTGATGTTTACCTATTTCATAAAAATGTATATACTGTTCGATTGTAGAAAGTCAATCAAAGCAGTTTACACTGATTGTTCATTGCAATCAATCACCTACAGAGGACATTTAGACAGGCACCTACAATCCTGATAGTTTGCCACCTGCTGAAAACAGATTTGTTTCACCAAGCGTGTTCAGAGAATTAATTTGATTTCATGTTGGTCATTCGTTCCTTAACCTATGATGTCAGAGTTTTATGATATTTTAATGATTTTATTGTACAACACCTTGATAGTTCTTTAAAATGAGCTGGAAGTTTTAATATTTTTTTTAAATAATGAGAATAAATTAATATTCTTTGTGTGGAAAGCATCCTTTCACTTTGTTGGTTCTTTTGAGATAATTAGTGTGGTTGCTGGAGATGCTCTTGATTCAGAGGGTTGAACTATAGAGAATGTTTCTTTTGGAGTGTTTTGAATGTCAAATATTAAAAAGGAAAGAGAATCTCTGAATCAATGTAATTTTAAGCCCTGAATTTAGCGGTTTTATAGATGCTCCCCTTTTAACAGGCAATGTTTTACTTCCGTTGTGAAAGTGAAAAACATAATTAAGATTTCTCCCACTATACCCCACCCTCCAATTTAATACTTTACAATTGCTTCTATATTCCTGACATGGCAGCTCCAGGTGGACACCCCAGTTGCTATGTCTAGCAGGTCTGGGAATGTGGTTCCACATTTCTGTAAAGGCCTGTCAGGCTGGGGGTGGGGGTGGGGGAGAGAGCTTACAAGTGCCGCCCACATTTTTATCCAGTATTTTCTTTTTCTTTAGAACAGCTCTCTACTATATGCTTCTAATTCTTTAGAATAAGTTCATCCTGAGCGTTCTTAAAACTCTCAGCTTGGCTCATGCCATGTTACCAAGGAAGGAGGAAGCCAGAACGTTCAACTAACTCTCTTTCGTCATTCACTTTGCAGTTGTTACAGCTATTGTCACATTTCCTCACTAAAAATAAGTGTCTTTTAATTTTTCAGCATCTGATTAGTATTTACCCTGACATCACTAAAGGTATGCAATGCCTTTTAGATTGGCGTAGGATTGTTGAGAGGCTGGAGGCTGACAGCAACTAGGATTCTATTCTGAGCTAATAATCACTATTTAATCCTCACAATGTCATTATGGTTACTGGTAGCTTCCAGTTTGCATCATCCAACCACAGTCTAGACCCAGAAGACAACAGAAGGAATAAGAGTAAAGTTATTAACTGACTTTTTAACTGTTCTTGGTTTCAACATCGATTTATGCATATAATATAACAGGAACTCAGAGTGGATTTTTGGAGATTATTTGATTGATTTTTCTTGGTAAATCTGTACACAGATTGCTTGGGTTTGTGGGTGGGTAGGTGGGGGGGATATTTATTTATTTCAACATTAA